ATCAGTAAAGAACAGAAGAGCACCATGGCTGGGCTGACACAGTCGACAGAGCGGGATTGAGGGCTCTGGGTGAGAAGGACCAACGCACTAGCCTGCAAACCTGCACGACTGAAAAGCAAAATGGCAAAAAGTCACCTTTCTTGTTTGGAGGTCCTCAGCTCCTGCAAATCTCTCTTTCATCAACACTATTCCCAGTTTGTGGCAATTCTTAGAACTCCCGTTCAGGGGAAGACAGAGAAACAAACAGTTTCAGGCACCTAAAATCTACCAGAAAGCCTACTAGAAACATGTTTCCATGTATGATTTCACTTAGTGCTCACAACAGCTCTATGAGGTAAGTTTTATTATCCCCAGTTTACAGAGGGGTTCCCTGAGACTTAGAGGATTTAAGTGATCTGTTCATAGAGCTTGGAAGTGGTGGGGTCTGTATCAATTGCCAGAGTCCCCATAGATTGTACTATACCCAGCTGCCTTTGATTTGAAATCAAATCAAATCAAAATGATGTCAAAATAGTAGAGATTTCTTAAGCCATCCAAGGAGCAGACCAAGCAAAGAGCAATGAACAGAAATCTCTGAATCTCTAAAGGTAGATGTTTAAAAAACCTGGAATTGTTGGGTTTGCATAGACCTCCCTGCAGTCTGAGATCCCAGTGCAGCCTTGGTACCCTCTAGTGGAAGTTTTCTGCATTCACACAGCTTCCCTTTCACCCCAAAGGGCTACCGGGCATCCCAAAAGAAGGGTCAGCTGGAAGGTACGTGTTTAGATGTTGGGGTCCACGACATGCAGGCAAAAGAATACAGAGTAGAGTGAAAGTATGCTAAGCACTTGACTCACAAGGGGCCCCAAAGGCAGTCCTTTTTAGTGTATTATAAATGAGCTCAGGCCTTCCTGCATTATTAATAAGTGCTCAATACACATTGCAGGCTTTTAGGGCTCTGGAGAGTGACTTTTTTTACAAGGGGAAAATTAGTGATCAGAGATGTGAAGTGACTTGCCTTAAGGCAGGGTAAGTCAATGTCAACAATGGTGGTACTAGAACCCGTATTTCCTGCCTTCAAACCCTGAACCCTTCTCACTACATCTTACTGTCCTATTTGTTGGTAGATTGGTTTTAGACACAAATTGGTGTGCCTATAAGGACATGAGGTTGTAGTGTATAATCAGGAAATTGTTTTTGCTTTCATCTGCCCAGAATTTATACACATTTCAATCTTCCATTGAACACATTTATAGAGTGCCTAATTGGCAAGCATTACTCTAAAAATTGCTTTGACAGCCTACCACAGGATATGAGAACAGGCCCCCAGGCTCCTGAACCCCAAGTCTTCAGCTCCCCTCCCCCTCCTGGAGCTTCTTCCCCATTTCCCAGTGCTAAGGTGTCAGGTTTCTTTCTGTCTCCCTCCTGCAGAGGTAATCCCTGGGAACGGAAGGGGGTTAGAAACAGATTACTCTGATCCAGGGGCTTTGCTCTCTTCTCTGTAAATGTGGTGCTGGGGGGTGGGGTGGGGGGGTTTGGCAGGGGAGTCACAAATAGCCTGAAATTCCCTTTTAGGATTATTGCTTGATTTAGCCAGCTGGGGTGAAAGTGGAGCAAGAAGAGGCGAGGGATTAATTCTAGACTTAGTTGGAACAGCGGGTGGCATGGACTTCTTTTCTGGCTGAGCTGGAATGAGCAATATCTCTTTCTAAACATACCTTTAGAGATAAGGAGTCTGAGGCAGGCAGAAAATGGTAAAGGAAAAAGTCTTTGTCCTCAGCAGCAGGAAGGAGTGGGAGGACAGATGAGAAAGAAGAGAAGCTAGAAGGAGAAAGCCATGCCCCACAGGAATAAGAAATCACTTTCGGGCTTGAAAACAAACCTGCCTTTAGGTGGTCTTAGTTTCAACGGAGGTGAGAACTGCTCCCTGTGGGGAAGACAGCTAACAGATTTCCAGTTCATATCTGGGTTAGGAGCTCTCTTGCTTTAGGGACACTGCACTGGGGCAGACTCTGGGGGCAGGGATGTTATCTGTGTCCAGCCCAAAGAGCAGTGCTTTACCCAGGACTCTGCTAGGCTCTGTATATCCTTTCCAGGGTCATGGGATCTGGAAGCAGTGGCCATAACTAACTAGAGTGGGAACATGTATTAAGTCATTTAATGCACTAATAGCAATTCTTTGAATTAGATACCTATTTATCCCCTTTCTATAGATGAGGAAAAGAGGTGGAGCTAAGATATAAACTTAGGCATTATAGCATTGCTAACCATTTTGTGAGAGGCCTAGATAGGCAACTCTTGGAGTGACAAAAAAGCTCTGCTAACGTTAGCTAAAAATTTCTTGAGGACTTTTGTTGGAAAGTCAGAATTGTTGGTTTCTTCTGTGTCACCTTATCTGGGGGAATTAACCTCTTCATGGTCTCAAGGAAAGGAAGTACAACATAAACATAAGGCAAACCTATTACTCACATTATAATCAGATTTTTTCATTTCTCCAGGAAGATTTCCCCCCTTCACATCAACTGTGTTTCTCTTAGAATGTAGGTTACCTGACAGAACTTCAGGAATTTCTATGTTAGATTCTGTCACCTGCCACTGGGAGGGGAAAAAAATGCAAGTACATGCCCCCACTGCTCTTGAGATATCCCATTCTCTTCAGCTCCATTCAGAAATTTCAATAGAGCAGCAGGGGATTCTAGGAATTCCCTGTTTAGAGAAATAAGAAATCAACTTTGCCCTCTGCTTCATCATATTTCATTTGGGATTCTATTCATTTATTTTTTTTAAGAAATTTTAAAAGATTTCATTCTTATTTATTTTTAGAGACAGGGGAAGGGAGGGAGAAAGAGAAACACCAATTGGATGCCCCCAACTGGGGACCTGGCCCACAACCCAAGCATGTGCCCTGACTGGTAATCAAACTGACAACCTTTTGATTCACAGGCTGGCTCTCATTCCACTGAGCCACACCAGCCGGGACTGGGATTCTATTCATTTTTGAATAAATAAATACTTGACTGTCTATTATGTGCAAGACTGTCCTTTGTGAGGCTGAGCACCTAGCCACTTTACTCCTACCTCTAATTGCTTTTTCTGAAAGGTAAATTACTAGGGTTGTAGAATTAAGAAACATCCTGTGGTGTTGCTTCCCCAGCAGACAGCTCCCAATTTTCCAGTTAGTGAGGTAGGGAGATAATATGAATTTTCCAAAAGAGCAACTAATAAAAATAAGAGCCCATTTATAACTCATCTCAGAATAAATTAAATGAGGCCCTGGTCAGGTAGCTCAGAGCATCCTCCCAATACTCCAAGGTTATGGGTTTGATCCCCAGTCAGGGCACATGCAAGAATCAACAACGAATGCGTAAAAAGGTTGAACAACAAATTGATGTTTCTCTCTTTCTTGCTCCCTCTCTCTAAAATCAAGAAATAAAGTCTATTTTTTTAAAAAGAATAAATTAAATGATACTGACACCCTTTATTATCTCATCCAGGCTAATATGAAACAAAATTTCATTCCCTGAGAAACTGATCAGAGGGCAAGCAAAGGATGACCTGTGATGTGCTGGCTACCGTGTACAGCCAATGTAAAGCTCAATAATGAACAATCCCAGACAGACTATATCAATGTTCTGTATTAATCAATAACCACTCAGTGTAGTGGGTTTTTCCCACTTCAGTGGGGAGACCAGTCAAAAAAAGAAAAAAAGAAAGAAAAATTCATGGCTTATTTTCTGGTGCATAGAGTAGATAGACAGGAGTCTGTTAAGAAATAACTAGGTATCTTTCATTTAAATGCTTAATATATATTATTTAACACATACAATGGCACGTAATTTCATGTCGCTATTCATGTATAATGCTCTAGGTTTAGTGCTGTGTCTAGGACTGGTAGTGGAATTTTTACCCTTGAAGAATTTGCAGTATAGTTGAGAAGCCAAGACTTAAGACAATACACATGACCTCCAGAGCCAAAAGTAATCTCTTTCCTTTGATAGTCCCTAGCATTTTACCTGGTACTTTGTAGCAATTCAATCCCAGCCTGTAAGCTCTTGTATGCACATACCATAGTTCCTAACTCATTGCAGAATACCGTAGGTAAGTGCTCAATAAATGCTAATTGTCAGAATAAGATGAGAACCTATTGGTAAGTGTGGAAAGTGTTTGCCATTCAGCAATGATTTACAGCACTGGACTTTCCAGGATAATCCCAATCATGTATCTTTTAACACCTGAATATGAAGCAGTGCAGCATAATAGTTAGAGTGCATGGGTTCTGGAATTAGACTGCTTGCTTGGGTATGAATTCCAGTTCTGCCAGATATCAGCCATCTGACCCTAACTAAAATTTGTAATTTCTCTGAAACCCAACCTAAATGTAAAAGGAAGATATTATTCTTGTTTGTGGTGAGAAGTAATTAAATTAATATATGCAAATGCTTCGAAAATTGCCTGGCACCCGGTAAACATTTCTACGTGTAAACTATTGTTTGTTAGTATTAGTCCTGGGCTTCTTTCCCAAATGACAAATACGAAATGTTTTTGTCCATCCACGTGTCTTTGGCTTCAATAAACGTCAGTAGTCACTATGTGTGTTCAATAAACATAGTACTCATTAACTTCATTTGTCATTAAGAAAAAACTTTCTTCACAGTACAGATCGGGAAAACTAGAGCTCATGTTTAAAGTTACAGGGCATATTAAGGTCAGATATAGACCCAGACACTATTCGTTATTGCCCTTTCTGGGATCAAAGTAGGCATTGGGGGGAAAGAAACAAAACCCCAAAAAACCGCACTTGTCTCTGATGAGCCGCACCTTTTCATGACTCCTAATTGAAACTGTGAAACAACCCCCCAACCGTATAGGAATGCAGCAACTACTGGCCACCTAAAACCCTTACGCGCAGGCGCAGCTCGCTCTCCAGCGTTCGGTTGGCGCGTGACAGGCGTGCTTTCCACCCTACCCCCAACGCCGCCTCAATGCGCACGCGCAAACGTACTACCCGCGCACGTGCGCGTGCGCGCCTCTCACACTTCGCCGGGGGGCGCGCGCCCTGGAAAATTCCGCACCCGAGCCAGCTCCACCCTATGCGCCTTCTTGCATTCCCCTGGCTCTTCACACTTAGTCTCTGTCCCAGCAGCCTTTGAGCGAACAAAATGGCTGCCCCCATGCCGCGGGGGTTGTGTTGCTTATCCAGGGTTTTAGGATGGTGGTTTCGACAGGTGGGTAGGGCCCAGGCGAGTAGGACTGTAGTGGCTGGAGGAGGAGGACAGAGTAGAGGGAAAGAGCCCTTTCGCAGTCGCCCTTGGTGAGCTTGGATGATACGAGTCATGCCATGGCTAGGGAAGAGTTTGAGGTAGACAGGATACAGCTACTGAGCTAAGTGGCCCAGTAGTGAAAGCCTGGGTAGGACCATGAGGGCGACCAAGTTCTCGGGGAGCAAGTGTGTCCTGTTTCGTCTGGGTGTGTTTGGCAGGAAGGATTTAAAGGAGAAAGACGTGATGGTTTGTAAGGTGGGGTCGCTTCCCATTGATTCTAAATGTCCTAAGTGAAACAGTAGCTGGAGAGGAGGGAATCCAATATTGTCACTGTACCTGTCTGAGCAAACCTCATGGTCAGAGAGCAAAGAAATCTGGCCTTTACAGAGTTTATTAATAAGCTGGGAGCTAGAACGACTGAAGTTTGCAGTGAGGATACCAATAGAATGAGCAGAATGTAATCTTAGTAAAATAGAGATGCTAAGAAGGCTTTTCTTACGCTTTTATAAGAGCATTCTGCTCATTTCAGCATTGGGTTGGTGTTTTTGTTCCCCATCAGACTGAAGATTCTTTTGAAAGCAGAAGCCTTACTTTAATCAATCAGTATCCCTAGGAGTTGCCCAGTACTATGGCTAGTACTGAAAGAAAGCCTTTAGCAAGTGTTCAGTGGAGTTAGTAAATGTTGCTTACTAGCTTCTAATAAACACTCGTAAGTGTTAAGGTAGTAATGCATTGCGCCTTGGCCCCCACATATGTGGTTCTGCAATTGTTCCTAAGTCATTCTTTGATTGTGCTTTTTCTACCTTTGTTTAGAGTTTGTTCCAGATCCTATTTTTTCCAGGTTACCTATATCCCAATCTTTCCTGCCTTCCAGCCAGTCTTGGTGACTCAGTCCATAGCTGTAGTTCCAGTTAGAACCAAAAAACGTTTCACACCTCCTACTTATGAACCCAAATACAAATCAGAAAAGGAGTTTATACAACATGCCCGGAGAGCGGGAGTGGTCATTCCTCCAGAGCGTTTGGAGCGTCCCATACATCTGGCCTGTACAGGTGAGACATGGTATTTCTGAGACCTTAATCCAGTCTTCGTCTGTGAGAGATAGTCTGGAAAGGGGAATGATTTGGAAATTGATTGACAGTATTTAACCACAAAAAATCAGTTGAGTCTAAATAATGATTTACTTTGCATACATTGTTTTTCATGAGGTCATCTTTGATCTTGTTTTCACACTATTCCTAAAAGGCAAAGGTGAAATTTCCCCATTCTGTACAAGAAGAAACTGAGGCTTTGAGGGAAGACTTAAATTCTTTTATTCTATTTTTTTCTCATGTAACACGATTCTCTCTACATGGAAGTCTGACTCATTTATCTACTTTATCTAAGATTCTTCCCAATTTTATGACCTCAAGATGACTTTTCCCTAGTCTTGCAACGCTTTCTTAGTTTTTGCCTTCTCATTACAGCCGGTATCTTTGACGCCTATGTTCCTCCAGAGGGTGATGCTCGTATGTCATCTCTTTCAAAGGACGGACTGGCACAGAAAACTGAGCGATTGAAGAAGAACGTGGCATCACAATTGTCGTAGGTGTCTGAGACAACTGGGTGTCAATATTAGGATAAAAATTTCTTGTTACTATTTTATTCCAGAGAGATCATCTTGGGTTAATTGAATTAGATATAACTCTCTTAACAACTTGATAGTATTTTCTTTCTCTATAATAGAGTCAGTGGTAAATGTAGAATGATACAGACATTCTGATTCTTAGCATCTCAGCCTTTATTAGTTGTTAGAGTTGACTGTAAAGTTCATAGGACTTTTTGATCACCTATTTTAAAATTTAAAGTAATGATAAAAGAGAACATATATGAGGAACATATATTAGAATTTAAATTTCAGAGAGTAACAAAAGCCAAAAAGAATGAAGAAGACAGACCTGTTCTTGGGAGCTAACTGGGGCTTAGTTAAGGAGCAGAAGAAAAAACCTTCTGAGCACCTCTTTTAGTTGAAAGGGCAGAAACATTTAGTATTTGTCATTCTAAGGTTCTTGAGAGTCATTTATAGATTGTTTTGCATAACTATATTGAGTCGGTGTTAATGTTCTATGTGACCATAACTCATTACTATAAATACAGATCTTATCATATAACGTTTCCTGCTTAAAATTCTACTGTGCTTTCCTATTACCTGGAGAATAAAATCCAAATTTCTTCAGTGGTATTAAAGGCTTTTTATCATCTGACTTTTGTCTTCTCTCCATCATCATCTCCTTATTCCATTTTTTTCATCTTAAACTTTGGGTATCCAAACTAATTGCCAATTCCTTGACAGTATTGTGGTATGCCTCTTTGTCTTTGCGTATCTTTTTTAACATTTAAAAAAATTATTGATTTTTTTTTTTAGAGGGAGGAGGAGGGAGAGAGAAACATCTGTTCCACTTATTTATGCATTCATTAGTTGATTCTTGTATGTGTCCTGACCAGAGGTTAATGTCAGCTGTGAGTTGTAGAATTGAATGAAGTCTTTAAAAATGATTGTTATGATTGATTTTATAGAATACGGAAGATAAGGGAATATGATGCTAATTTTAAAATAAAGGACTTCCCTGAAAAAGCTAAGGATATCTTCGTTGAAGCTCACCTTTGTCTAAACAAGTAAGTGAACTCCTGTCTTAAACCCATTATGTTCACATTTTGTAGTAGAACTTCCTATGTGGTAAATAATTGGACCTATGGTGTCCTTGACCGTTTTCCCTGCTGCTGGGGGTTTTCACCATTGGCGTGGCTCTGCTCCACCTACAAGTGTTGGGAGACCCTGCCGAACAGCTGATGTTTTTACCCCACCTGATCTCTAATTCTTCCTGACCCTTTTTGTGTGTTTGTCTTAAGTATGTATATTTCTCTTTCCTTAGTTATTTGGTATTAAGTATCTTTTGAAAAATTTTAAAAGATTTTATTTATTTATTTTTAGAGAGAGAGAAGGGAGGGAGAAAGAGGAGAGAAAAACATCGCTCAGCGACCTTTTGGTTTGCAGACTGGTGCTCAAGCCACTGAGCTGCACAAGTCAGGGCTCTTTTGAAAATTTTTAATGTTTTCTTGATTCAACCAAGTAAAAGTCAAGGCCGCTAGGGAGATGAAAACCACTGAGGGCCTGGAATAAATTTAATTACCAGCCCTTGGACTATTGCTGACATTCTTGAGCTGTGGCTGCTGTGGCTGCTGTGGCTAGGCTTCAGGTAGGACCCCAAATCTGTACTCTAAAATCCATTAATTTTTTAAGTTGTTTTATAAATTATGAAATAGTTCAAACATAAAAAAGTAGCATTCATGTTAATAGATGTTTACATTTTGTTATATTTGTTTCAGAGTCTCTAGGAGAGGGGGCAGGGATAAAATATTATAGATATAGCTGAAGTCTCATCTCATTCTTTTTCTTCCTATAGGTAACTACTATCTTATGCGTAATTCCCATGTATATTTTATTTTTATACTTTTCACTAAATGTACAAATGTAAATAATATAAATAATGAAAGCCTATGTGAATGATATCATTGTATATATCTTTTTGAAACCTATTATTTTTATTGTTCAACATTGCTTTTTATATATTTGATATTTTTCTACCACATTATTTTGTGTGTTCTATTTGCCATGATTTTTCTTCGCTTCTTTTTCTCTTTTCATTTATTACATTGATGTAATTTTCTTCTTCCTTTTTCATTCCTTCCCTTGCACTTGTTTGGAAGTATTACATTTTATTTCTATTCTTTTAGAAGTTATTGTTGAAATGTTTTACATGTATCCTTTTTTTAAATTTTTTTAAGTTGATTTACAGAAGGAGAGGAAAGAAGAGAGAAACATCGATTTGTTGTTCCACCTATTTGTGTATTAATTCATTGGCTGATTCTTGTATATACCCTGACTGGAGAATCCAACCTGCAACCTTAGCATATGGGTACAGTGCTCTAACCAATTGAACTACCTGGTCAGGGCATGTATTTTTTACTGAATATTATAAGACCCTTAGAACACTTTAATTCCAATCACTACCTCATTCATCTTCCATGTTATTGTCATCTAGTTTTTTAGTTCTGCATTTTAAAAATTTCACCTTCATTTGTTTTGGGTTTTGTTTTTGTCCCCCCACTTCATTTTTAAAGGATGCTTTCTCTGGGTCAAGAATTCCAGGTTGGTGGTCATTTTCTGTCAGCATTTCTGTCGTCTTTTGGTTTCTGTTGTTGCTGTTGAGAAGTTAACTATTTTTTCTTGTTGTTTCTTTGAAGTTAAAGTTTCTTTTTTTCTCTGCTTTTAAGATTTTTTCTCTGCCTTTAGTATTCAGCAGTTTACTATGGGGGGGGGGGTGTGTGTGTTTATGTGGGTGTCTTTATCCTGCTCTGGGTTTCTATTGCTTCTTAAATCTTTGGTGCATTTTTTGTTAGTGTTGGAAAATACTTAGAACATCTTTTCAGATGTTGCTTCTTTTCCACGTTCTTGTCTCCTTTTGTGCCTCTGAATGCGTATCTGCTAGATCTTTTCACTGTGTGCCACATGTCTCTCTGGCTTTTTTTCTGTATTTTCCAATCTCCATGCTGTCCCTCCACCCCTTCAGTCTTGATATTTTGTGCTCTTCCTGTCCCCTTTTCAGTTATATCTAATCTGCTGTTAAACCTATCTATTGAATTTTTTTTTTAAGATTTTATTCATTTTTAGAGAGAGGGGAAGAGAGGAAGAAAGAGAGGGAGAGAAACATCAATGTGCACTTGCCTCTTGCACGCCCCCAACTGGGGACCTGGCCTGCAACCCAGGCGTGTGCCCTGACTGGGAATCAAACCAACAACCCTTTGGTTCACAGGCTGGTGCTCAGTCCACTGAGCCACATCAGCCAGGGCTGAAGTCTTAATTTTATACTTGCTTTCTATTTTTATTTTTAGAATTTTTTTAAAGTATATTTTATTGATTATGCTGTTACAGTTGTCCCAATTTTTTTTTCCTTTTGTCCTCCTCCGTCCAGTACCCTCCTTCCCTCCAGCAATCCAGACCCTTAGTTCATGTCCATGGGTCATGCATATAAGTTCTTTGGCTTCTGTATTTCCTGTGCTATTCTTAACATCCCCCTGTTTATTTTGTACCTACCAATTATGCTTCTTAATCCCTGTACCTTTTCCCTCATTATTCCTCTTCCTCCTTCCCTTCCCCCTCCCCACTGATAATCCTCCATGTGATCTCTATTTCTATGATTCTGTTCCTGTTCTAGTTATTTGCTTAGTTTTTGTTTTTTTTTAGATTCAGTAATTGATAGTTGTGAGTTTATTGTCATTTTACTGTTTATAGTTTTGACCTTTTTCTTAAATAAGTCTCTTTAATATTTCATATAATAAGGGCTTGGTGATGATGAACTCCTTTAGCTTTACCTTGTCTGGGAAGCACTTTATTTGTTTGCCGTTCCATTATAAATGATAGCTTTGCTGGATAGAGTCATCTTGGTTGGAGGTCCTTGCTTTTCATCACTTCGAATACTTCTTGCCAGTCCCTTCTTGCCTGTGTAGTTTCTTTTGAGAAATCAACTGAGAGTCTTACGGGAACTCCTTTGTAGGTAATTCTCTTCTCTTGCTGCTTTTAAGATTCTTTGTTTTTAACCTTTGGCATTTTAATTATGATGTGTCTTGGTGTGTCCTCTTTGGGTCTAACTTGTTTGGGACTCTCTGTACTTGCTGGAGTGATATGTCTATTTCCTTTGCTGATTTAGGGAGGTTTTATTATTTTTTCAAATAAGTTTTCATTTGCTCTTCCTCTTCCGCTTCCTCTTCTCCACTGGCATCCCTATGTTGGTATGTTTGGAGGTGTCCCAGAGTCTTCTTATTTTCTCATTTTTTTTTTCTTTTTCATTCTTGTTTCTTCATTCTGTACTGGTTTACTGTTTATTTTTTCCTTATGTCCCAAATTGTTGATTTGAACCCTGGCTTCCTTCCCTTCATGGTTGGTTCCCTGTGGATTTTTCTTTATTTCACTTAGTGTAACCTTCATTTCTTCCCTTATGCATTGTTGCTGTTCTCAGTAAGTTCTCTGAGCATCCTTATCACTGGTGTTTTGACCTCTGCATCTACTAGGTTGGCTATCTTCATTTTGTTTAGGTCTTTTTCTGGGGTTTTGTTCTGTTCTTTCATTTGGGCCATGTTTCTTTGTCTCCTCAATTTGGCAGCCTCCCTGTGTTTGTGTGTATTAGGTAAAGGTGCTTTGACTCCCTATCTTGGCGCACCTGTTAGGTTGTAAGGGGTGGAGCCTTACGTATTTGCCAGGGCAGGGGGAACCCGCTTCACTGCTTTGTGGTGCTATTTGTGGGGGAGGAGTCAGAGAGGGAACAATGCCGCTTGCTCGGCTCTTACCCCATTTTCCAGTCACTTCCTCCACTTCCTGTGTGCCATGGGCACCCTTCCAGCTGCTGCCCTGGTGCTGAATCCCAGAGGGTGAGTTTGTGTATATTTTTGGACCCTAAGGGTCCTTTAAATGGATTCTTCTGAGAGATCAGCAGTTTCTTCTGCCGCCCCAACCCCCACTAATTTTTATAGCCAAAAGTTATGAGGTTTTATTTTTCCCTGCACTGGAACCCTGGGCTGTGTGGTCTGGCCTAGGGCTGGGATGGCTTGCTCCCCAGGTGTTTCTCCTGGTTTTTATCTGCCACATGTGAACGTGGGACTCCTCATTCCAGGGGCTGCTGCCACTGCTGCCACAACGCATACTCTCTCCCCTGGCTTCCTGTCTCTGTCCCTCCTACCCATTTGGATGAATAGTTCTTTAAATCGTTGGTTGTTGGACTTCCATACAGTTCAATTTTCTGGCAGTTCTGGTTTTTTGTTTTGAGGTTAGTTGTGATCCTTCTTTACGGTTGTGTGAGAAGGTGAAGCATGTCTGTCTACACCTCCATCTTGTCTGAAGTCCACTTTTCGAATTTTTATTTTGTTTTTTTGTGTGTGTCAGTTTCTTTGCTAAAATTCTCCATTCTGTCATCTAGTTACTTGAACATACTAATTACACTTACTTTAAAGTCTGTGTCTGGCCCTCGCCAGGTAGTTCAGTTGGTTGGAGCCTTGTCTCGCTTTCCCAAGGTTGCAGGTTTGATCCCCTGTCAGGGCACATACAAGAATCAACCAATGAGTACAGGGTAGGGTTGAGGGGAAGTAGAGGCAAATGTGCTTGAATAACAACAACAACAACAACAACAAAAAGAAAAAAAGAATCAACCAATGAATGCATAAATAAGTGGGACAACAAAAATCAGCATCTCTCTCACTCTAAAAATCAATTAAAATTTTTTTTTTTAAGTTTAAATTTTTTTAATCCAAAATTTTAGTTGATCGGGTTGGCTCCCGACTCATCTCGATTCAGGGTGCTTTTAGTGCTACTTCCTCCTGAAGGAGCATCCTTCTGGAAGCCTTGCATTTCCTTCTGTAGGCTGACAGGACAGTGGAGCAACCAACACATAAAACTACTGTGTGTGCGTGGCCGAAGGTGATGGTGATTTCATAGCATCCTGTGCATTTCACATCCATGAAGTAGAAATTAGGGCTCTGCACCAGGTGCTGCTTCTTGTGTTTCCTCTTCTTTTCCAGAGAGATGAAGGAGATCTTTAGCAAGAGGCATGTTGTTGTGGGGAGGTTGTCGCTGCTGGAAAGACCAGTTTTTTAATTTTGATGAAGTCCAGTTTATGCTTTTTTCTTTTGTTGCCTGTGCTTTTGGTGTCATATCCTAGAAATCATTGCCAAATCCAGTGTCATGAATTTTTTCTCTTATGTTTTCTTACAAGAATTTTACAGTTTTATTTAAATTTAACTCACATTTAGCTCTTTCATCCATTTTAAGTTAATTTTTGTATAAGGTAAGAATCCATCTTCATTGTTTTGCATGTGGATATCTCGTTTTCCCAGCACCATTTGTTGAAGAGACTGCCCTTTTCCATTGCATGGTCTCGACATCTTTGTTGAAGATCAACTGACCATGCATACAAAGGTTTATTTCTGGGCCCTCTATTCTGTTCCATTGGTCTACATGTCTGTCCACATAGCAGTACCACATTGTAATTGAATTGTTTTCTTAATTTCCTTTTCTGGTTGTTCATTGCTGGTATATAGAAATACAACTGATTTTTGTATGTTGACTTTGTATCTTGCAACTTTGCTGCATTTGTTTATTAGTGCTAAGTCTTTTTTTGTGGAATTTTTAGGATTTTTCTATATATAAGATTGTGAGATCTATGAACAGAGATAATTTTTACTGCTTTTCTAATCTGGATGACTTTTATTTCTTTTTCTTACCTAATTGCTCCAGCTACAATTTCTGGGACTATGTTGACTAGAAGTGGTAAAAGCAGTAATCCTTGTCTTATTTCTGATCTTAGGGGAGAAGTTTTCAGTCTTTGACCATTCAGTATGGTACCAGCTGTGGGTTTTTCTTATAAGGTATTTATAATTTTGAAGAAGTTTCTTTAAGGTATTCCTAGTTTATTGAGTGTTTTTATCATAAAATGATGTTACATTTTTCCAACTGCTTTTTCTGCATCAATTGATATGATCATATTTTTTTCCTTCATTTTATTAATGTGGTGTATTACATTGATTAATTTTCTTATGTTAAACCACCCTTGCATTCTAGGGATAAATCTCACTTAGCTGTAGTTTGTGATCCTTTTAGTATGATGCTGAATTTGGTTTGCTAATATTCTGTTGATTTTTGCATTTTATTGTTCTTCACACTGGATAATTTTGATTGCCTTATTATCAACTTCGTTGATCCTTTTTTTTACCTGCTCAGACTTGCTTATCAACCCCTGTAGTAAAGTTTTTATTACAGTTATTGTACTTTTCAGCTTTGGGGTTTGGTATCTTTTCATAATTTCTATCTCTTTATTGATTCTTATTTTGTTCATACATTGTTTCCTCATTTCCTTTGTTTCTTTGTCCATGGTTTCTTTTAACTCATTGAGCATGTTTGGGACAGTTGATTTATCTTTCAGTAATAATTCCAATGTCTGGGCTTCCTCAAGGATGGTTTCTGTTAAAATTTTTTTCCCCATGAATGGGCCATATTTTCATGTTTCTTTGTATACTTTTTTTTATTTTTTGCTGAGAACTCTGGAGAGCCGATTTCTGTGCTCCTCAGGAATTGCTCAATTTGCACACCACCCATTCATGACTTCTCCAGACTAACATTTCTAAGTGCATAGTCTTCGTTTTATGTAGTCATTGAAATTTCTGTTCCATCATTTCTGCAGTCAGCTAGTCATCTGACAAAAATTTCCTTAGATGTCTGGCTGAGTAAAAACAAAACAGGTGCTCTTTAAATCTTTTCATTCATGTTGGTGGGAGAAGTTGCCGCACCCAGCAGAACCAAAACCACTCCCAGAGGGTTCAAGGTTTTAGAAAGAGTCCAGCTTCTGGCCATTGGACCCTGTTTCTGGATCCCTTCATCATCCCTTATGTTGTTGTGGCAGGTCGTATTCCTTCCATGTGCTTTTAATTTCCTCCTCCTCTCTGGCATCTAAGGATTTACCTTTCTAGTGAACTAGGACAGCATATTTAAAAATGTGTTTGTGTGTATTATATTCTGACTAGCATTTCTAGATGTTTATAGTGGGATTAGTTTTACATTCACTCAGTCCATTACATTGCCAGAAGTAGATGTCTTCTTTTTATCTTTCAGTGTAAGTTCTATTGCAAAACAGTAAATGAACTCCTAGAAAAAGGATTTTACTTGTACCGAGGACTTCTAGGCCAGAATAGTGAGGAGAAGGAGTGCATTCAGAGGTGCCAGCACGGTGGTCATGGTAGCCGTCCCCACAATTCACGTGGCTCAGGCTAGAGCTGCAGGGGGAGAGATGAGTAGGAATGTTTTCTATTAGGAATAAAGGTGAAAGGGAAGCAGATAGAACTAATCCCTTACCTGTTCTGGGATAAGAGACAAGAATTTTGAAAGGACAAAGACTTCAACTGCGTAGAAATTATTCAGCTGTGGGGGAAAGTCATGAATGTGTATGTGCTTTTAGATTTACTTGAAACTCCTCAGTTAGGAATCCTCCTAAAATCTTGTATGTACAGGGGCTGGGGTTTGTTAATCTGTTCTCTCACTCTTACTGCATAGAGTCAGCATGACCAGCTCACTGTGGCAGTAACAAAGGTGAGCATAGGGGAGGGGAGGGTGGGTCGGAGAAGAGAGATGATGATCTTGCCTAGGTTTAAAGATGGCAGTGTAATGAACCAGACACAGGCCAGGCCAGTTGGTACTGGTGATGTGTTTGAGGTAAGGAGAGAACATGAGCTTTTTGTTGTCATTTATGTTGGATTTTTATTCCCTGTTCCATCTGAGAGCAAAAACCAGTCCTCGTGTCCCAGTAAGGGTCTCTTGCTCATCATAAGGACGTGTAATAATTTCAGAGAAATTTCTTTCTGCTCCTGACACTCAAACCTAATTCTACTCTGCTTGAAGTTCAGGGTTTTCTGGTAAATCATGTAATTCATGTTTGTGTCACCAGGACTTAGCATACCTCCTGGCTTATGTCAATAGTACGAGTGAAGAAAATCTTCGTAAAATTGAATTGTTTTCCATTTTCCAAATCATTTTCAAAGCTCATACAGAGCATCATAAAAACAGGGGTCAATTTTTTATATATATATCTCTTTCTTTTATAGCTCAGACCATGACCGACTTCATACCTTGGCAACTGAATACTGTTTTCCGGTAGGTTCCCATCCTTAGAATTGTGGGATGCTGAGTGGGCATATTGTAGACATCTCCTTTGGTTTTCTTAAGAAGGATCAGTTTTGAAAGTACAGGAAGTTTAAAGCAAAAGCTGAAGTTACATTATTTTTGCCTGAATGGTAACGACTTGACATGGACTCTGGGAAGGGCCATGCAAATGAGGGAGGAGGAAGTCCCTCCGCCAGCAGTACCGTAACCTCAGGGTTGGGTCCTGAAATCAGGGCATGGGCTGCATTGGGTCAGCCCGCACTTGCCTACACTGTAATAAAGGATTTAACAAGAATTCACAAGGCTTACATTGTGTGGTAATGGGTGCTGGGGATTTTGGGAGATGCACAAGGAGGGGGACTTTGTGATTTAAGAATAAGAACTTCAGTTTCTGTCAGTTCAGCCTTATCTCCCTAGGGACAAGGATAGCTAACCTTGTCTTAGTAGTTTAGCCTTTATATCCCTGTAAAATCCTAACTTTCTCTGCTAATAGGTGTGTGCGGGGGGCAGCATATATTCAGTCAGCAAAAATACATGTAATAGCCCTGGCTGGTGTGGCTCAGTGGATTGAGTGCCGCCCTGTGAACTGATAAGTCACGGGTTCAATTCTCAGTCAGGGCACATGCCTAGGCTGCAGACTGGGTCCCCAGCTGGGGGCGTGCGTAAGGCAACTGAGTGATGGCACTATGGATTGTGGTTTTTATTGATTTGGAGAAGAGTCCTCAAGGAGGTAGGTTGGTCTTGAGTTGAGATTTAAATGAGAAGAGAGTCGTTGTGAGGTAGGCTTGAGCAATAGCTTACTCAAAACTTGGGACAGTAAAAAAGGTGTCACAAAAGAGCATTTGGTGGGAAGTGTTGCATTTGGCTGTAGTACTGCAAGAAGTGAGAGGAGATGTAGAAGGAAGCACCAGCTCCCCTAAAGGGAGCAAAATACTCAGTAGAACTTGTTTTTTTCTACTCTCAGGACATGGTCTGGGACCTCCAATATAAGACCGTCCGCTGGAGCTTCGTAGAATCTTTAGAACCACCCCAAGTGGTTCAGGTTCGCTGTTCAAGTATGCTGAACCAGGGCAACATATACGGCCAGATCACCGTCCGCATGCATACCCGCCAGGTAGAGGCACCAGTCTGCTTTCCTCCCAGCTTTTCTTCACTCTCAGGTTGGGCACCTACCACTGGAATCCTGGCTACAGCTGCCCAGCCTGCAGGTTCGAAGGAAGGGTTCACCGAGGTCTTCCTTGCTCTGTCACTGCCCTCTTCCCACTGCTAGCCGTTAGCTCTACTAAGACAGGTTCAAGGATATTCTTGCCCACCCTTCCTGGTATCGATTTCCTCCTTCCTCCCCTCCCCAGTCAAAAAAAAAACCAAAAACCCAAAAAACAACAACCTCTAAGATGAAAGTGTTAGTAGTTGATCAGTTAGTCTATATTCAGAATTCTGAGGTGATTTGTTTCTACCCATTAAAATATTTTGTTATGGTTGTTTTAAAAATGGTTGTGTGCAAAAAAACAAAACAAAAACAAAAACAAAAACAGGCCCTAACTAGGTGGCTTAGTTGGTTGGCGCATCATCCCATACAACAACAAAAAGTGTGTGGGTTTGATCCCTGGTCAGGGCACATACCTAGCTTGTGGGTTTGATTCCTGGCTGGGGTGTGTACAGGAAGCAACTGATCAATGTTTCTCTTTCTCTCTCTCTCCTCCTCCCTCCCCTCTCTCTCCCTCCTCTTTAAAATCAGTAAACATATCCTTGGGTGAGGATTAAAAAACCCGAAACACACAGAAACAAAACAAACAACTCTGAGGACTAACAGGCCAGACTTGCTCTCATCCCTGCAGACTTTGGCCATCTATGACCGGTTTGGCAGATTGATGTATGGACAAGAAGATGTGCCCAAGGATGTTCTAGAGTATGTTGTCTTTGAAAAGCACCTGACAAACCCCTATGGGAGCTGGAGAATGCATGGCAAGATCATCCCTTCATGGGCACCCCCTAAACAGCCCATCCTTAAGGTAAGGTAGCTTGTGTGTTTTAAGAGGGCTGAGGCCCACCCTGACAATGGGTTGGGCATCACCCTGTAAAACAAAAGGACCCCGATTTGATTCCCGGTCAGGGCACGTTCCAAGGCTGTGGGCCAGGTCCCAGTTTGGGTTGGGAACCTGTGAGGAGCAACTGATCGATTTTTCTGTCATACATTGATGTTTCTCTCACTCTCTCTTTCTCCCTCCCTTCCCCTCTCTCTCAAATATAAATCAGTAAAATCTTTAAAAAAGAGAGAGCTGAGGTCCTACTAGTGGCATCTTAACCCAGTCCTTTTGGGCGCCACCTAGTGGACAGAGGGGGTGATGCAGCATCAAGGAAGGGGAATCCTCCTGTTAGGGGTTGGCCTGAGGGCGACGGTGATCTTCCCTGCATGAGCCATGGGCTTGGATGATACATAACTCAGATTCCTGCTCTTTCAGACGGTGATGATCCCTGGCCCCCAGCTGAAACCGTGGGAAGACTATGAAGAGCTACAAGGCGAGGCCCATAAGCCTCAGCTAGCCTGATGGCCAGAGCGATTCCTGGGGTGAAGTATGGGTGCTGAGGTGGCTGGGAGCTGTGAAGTCGTCCTTCTCCACATGCTGTAGAAAGAACTACCTTTGCTCTCTCCTCTCTTGCTTGGGTTGTTCAGCAGTCTCATCCCCAATAACCACAGTTGGTGGCTAGGCCCGGGTGGGTGGCTGCTATGCACAGCCCTGGACCCACTTACTCTTTTTTAAGTTGTATATCTACCTTCTGGGTCTAGATGAAAGACACTTTGTTTCAGAGAACACCTGACACCAATCTTTCCCAAAGCAGGGACTGTCAGGAGCAAACTAGGAGAATTTCCTTATCACAGGGCAGGGGTCAGAGTTTGAAATAAAAGTCTCCGTGTTTTGGATCAGTTGTGGTGGGTTCTGTCCCTATTCCCTGGTTCAGGTTAGAAGTTGAGCCAGCCTTCCAACGGCAGAAATGGAAGACAGGCTTGATTGTGAGTGGTGGGGCTCCCAGGAAATCCAGACTTGGGGGGAAAAGTGTTTCTAAGAGGTGGTATCATTTAAGAGGGTCTTTTCTCATACACTGACTCACTGAATCAGCATTTGTATTTCATAGAAGAATGTAAATACAAAGAAATCATTTATCCCCCAGCCTTTGGATTGTGTTCATAATTATCTGCTCCATCCAGGCATGATCCTAGGAAGCATGGGGCCCATGGAGAAGTTCATCCATTTACCTAATCCATCTGTAAGACTTGGATCCCTGATTTAGCAATGGTGACTATTCTTTTCAAGCCCAACACTGGGAGGGCAAAGGTACCAGAATATGGACCGTGTACAGTGAAACAGTCCAGCCCCTCTTGTTCCTTAGCTCCAGCTAGGCTGTCGGAAGGAGGAAGTGGAGCTTCACAGGCCCAGGTAATAACAAGAGAAATCACTCTACACCAGCAGCAAGCTTGGCTTTTAGTACTATTGCTTTTGTCAGCCCAGTGTGGCCTTCCCTTAAAAATAGGACCTTAATTCTCATACTTTCTATTTTTCAAGCCTAGAATTTCTTTTAAGGAGTCTGTAAGTCAGGTTAAGGATTAATCTGTTCTGACCTTGTGCTGAGAGATGAGTCCAAAGAAACTGGAATCAGGTTGAGACTAACCTCACTCCTTAGCCTCTCTAGAGCTATGAGCCCAGCAAAGCAGCAAACAGTCCAGGCCTCACTGGGGAAAGCGGACAAGCTGCTGAGTGCTGACCGGAAACAAGCTGTGTATGCTCGGGCAAGAGGCAGCACTGGTGGGTCATCCAAAGCAGCCACTCTCATCATGCTACTTAGCTTCAGCCCCTTTGGCTTAAAATGTACATCATTTTACAGCCCAAGTGAGGTTTGGTTATATCCTACTTGTGTGAGTGCCGGATTAAGGCAAAATGAGATGAGAAGTGCTTTGACCAGGATCCACAGCTATAAAGAGTAAAGGCGGGTGATGCAGGTTGGGCAGGGAAGCAGAGAAACAGAGCCCACTTACTGGACGAATGATACATTGATTTCTCTGAATATGTGAAAACAGTGCTTTAAATAAGCTGTTTTCACTGCACTCCCCCCGATCTGTCTCCTGGGTTTCCAGATAATCCTAAATAGCAGCTAAGCAATAGCTGCCGCCAGGGAGCCAGAGGATAAGTGCAATTTTCATTTCCCCTTGGGACCAAATCCAGCTGAGTGAAAGGCCCAGGCATGAAGGATTGACTAGAAGGACCAGGCAAGAGATCCTCTGCAGTGCCAGCCGTGGAGCTGAGGTGCTGAAGGCTGCAGTGTTGTTACCTTGGACTTTAGAGCAGGCATTGTTTTTCTTCCTATTCATGTTTAAAGACATTGAAAAAAATCACCATAATGAATAAAGCTAGAAACAACTGCCAAGAAAAAGCATTGTTTGTTTTTCCCCCCAAGGTTTACTTCACAGCAGTGGGCATAGGGACAACATTTTTGTTCCCAGCTAGACCAGACCCTATGAGGTTGTTCTAAGGTGAGCAGTTAATGGCATTTGCATTGGCTCGGAAGCTGTGGGGTTAACCAGCCAGAGCCCAGAGCAACAACACTCTTCAGTTACTTCTCTGAAAGGCCAGGGCAAGGAACCTAAGTAAGTGGAAGGGCCTAGATATGGGCAAAAGGGTCTCTAGTCCCTGAAAAAGTAGGTTACTCCATTCCTTTGCCTCATTTTTGGAAATGGAAAAATTTGCTACTTTTTCTGTGATGTGCTATATCTGCCCAGAGTATTCACATGCAGACTCATTTCTTCCCCATTGGGTATTTGGTCTTGTTTTTGCCTTTCTTCTTCATAAATGGCATCGATATCTGTCCAGTTAGCAGGGGGTTTAGTGCCATCTTTAGTGCCCCTAACCAGCTCTGCCATGTTTAGCCTGCTTGTTCCCACCCCCACTCACCCCTGCCAATCCTGGGACTTCTTTCACCAGTGTTTTTCTCCTTCTTCATTTCCCTCTGGTAGTATCATCTAATTCCAGCACTCTTATCTAGGGTTGCTTAAGTAGGGGGAGCCTGAACTGACTTGAGAGAATAGAGCCAAGCTAAGACCAAGAGAGAGCTCCCTAAGAAAGAGTCTTTGTATTTCCATGATGCCCTTGCCCCAGCCCTCAGCCTCTAACCTGCCCCGTGGCACGGCTCTTTCTGAGGGCAGTTACAGTGCTGGCTGTAAACAGGACCTCCTTTCTTTCTCAGGCTTCTCAGGAAGGAGACAGCTGTGAGCCTCCTGTTACTGAGCAAGTGATTTGGACTGGTTCTCACATCAGAACCAGAGATTCCTCCTGGCTCCAGTTGCATTGACAACAGGGAGGGGTCCCTTTAATGACAGCACTGAAAGGCTAGGACAGGGAGGATGGGCCAATGAGATGAACTATGGAGACCAGCAAATGATAGGGCAGGAAGAAGGGGAGGCCATCTGAAAAAGCTAGCAAGGGGAATGCTACTTAAACAGGGAGACGGGGTGTCTGGAAGGGAGAACTCGACCTTGGCCGACGTGGGGAGGCCCTGGAGCAAGTGCCTTTCTTCCTCTGCTCTGTCTCTGATACTGCTTTGGATGCCAGATGATACGGATATAAGAGTGCTTGATTGGCCCTGCTTCAGTAGTCAGGCAAGGCAGGGGAGGATCAATTAAGCAGAAACTGGAGATCCAAAGTCAAAATGACAAGATCTTTAAGGCATTTCAAGTATGAGTTTTGAGCTATTTATTTATTTTTTTAAGATTTTACTTATTTTTAGAGAGGGGAAAGGAGGGAAAAAGGGAGAGAAACATTCATCAGTTGCCTCATGCCCGCCCCCTACTGGAGACCTGGCTTACAACCCAGCCATGTGCCCTGACTGGGAATCAAACCACTGACCTTTCAGTTCTTAGGCCAGCACTCAATCCACTGAGCCACACCAGACACACCTTATGAGCCATTTAGATTTTTCCTCTTTTTTGTCCTTGAACTTGAATTAAGTGGCTTCATAAGCTTCCTATGGCGACTGTATAACCTTCTGTGACCCTCATTTCCTGTGTAGCCAGTACTTTGCATGATTTAGTTTCTTCTCCCCCCCAAAAAAAAATTCTTCCTAGACTTCAGAGAATAGGGTCTCCCTATAAGAAGACATGGGTGGGGCACTGCTGACTGCTTTTTGTCCCTAACTTGGCTTTTCCTGGGAGTGTCTAGATACAAATGGCTTGTGTTGAGTGCTCTAGCTGGATAGGAAGATGCGTTAGAAGCAGAGGATCTAGCCTTTGTCCCTTACAGCAGGGAGAATTGGAAGTGAAGAGAGGGTACAACTTGCTATTGGGGTTTGAGCTGCACCTTCCTTGTATAATTTGTCTTTGAGTGAGTTGACTTCTGGCCTTCCTGGAGACGCGAAGTGACCAGGTGTCTGCTTCAGCTCTAGGACTGAAAAGGTCCTTGGCTCCTGAAAGCCAGCTGCCCGATGTTTGACCTCACCCCAGTTTAAACTGGGAATTGTTATTCCCAGTCCCAAGGATAGACAGTTGGAGGGGTCAGTTCTCCATGTGGAGCTGTGGAAGCCATTTCTCCTTGGTCTTCAGTTGCGGAAGAATTCTGAGCCTCAGCTGCTCGGAGACTTGGCCCTGGGGTTAAGCTGGTCCTTGGCCCAAGTCCTGAAAGTCCTTGGAATTCTCTGAAACCTTCCAGAGCAGAAGAACTGGATGGCTTGCTCACAGTGGGGCGGGGGCTTTTGCTTTCTGGAAGGAAGCAGCCCAGGGGTCTATGGACCGAAAGGCATGGTGGTTTCTCAGGGTCACAGGGGGAAAATATTTCTGCCCGAGTTGCTGTTAAAGCCAGGAGGCCAGACTCCTCAGATGGGGCTCCAGTTCCCTCCCAAGGACCGATGTCTGCCATGGTGCCCTTGATTTTATTTCCTTCTGGATCTGTGACTTCCCACTGGCACAGCTCTGCCATGCTGCTCTCCATACCACTTGTCCCAGGGGGACTGGCTATGACTTGGTCAATGTCCAGAGCATCTGGCTGGGGGAAGAGTCTCCCCGAACCCATGTGTTCCCAGGGGCAGACTGTCCCCTGCTCTCTGCTGCCTGTTGCTGCTGCTTTTGAAAGGTGTTCTTCAGTCCCCCCAGACCCTGCCTTTTGAAGGAACAGTTTTCCTTGCCCTTGGGGTTTTCTCTCCTCCTCCTGCTCTGGGCTGCCTTCTGCTGCTGCATTACTCACTTCCCAAGGGCAGATTTCTGCTCTCCTGGCCAAGGGAACCTCTGCTGCTTCCCATGGACATACTTCTGCTACTCTGGCCTCCACATTGCCTGCTGCCTCGGAAGTGCCTTTGCTTCTGTCAGAAGCTCGTGGGGCTGGTTGCGGAGACAGCCCTCCACTGTCTTGACTCTCCCAGGGACACACAGCCTCCTGGTTCCCAGGTGCCCTCTCTGGCTTTTTCTGAACTGCCCCAACTTTGGGCTCTGGTTTTTCTGAGGCTTTGCCCTTGCCCCCTTTCCCATTCTGTATTGACACTCCTTCAGGGATTCCTTCAGTCACCTCCCAGGGACAGACCTCTGCTTTGGTGCCACTGTCAGGCTGATGAGCAGCTGGGGCAGGAGCGTCCCATGGGCACACTGCAGCGCGCCTGCCCCCAGCGCTGACCAGTGTCTGAGAGCCAGCTTTCGGCTGGTTATGACAGCGACTCTCGGGGTGAGAGGAAGAGACTGCGGGGGCCGCGCTCTCCCATGGACAGATGGATTGTAGCTCAATTTTTACTTTTTCCCCATCTTCAGTAGGGACATCTGCTTTTGAAGATGGAGCTCTTTCTTGGATTATGTGTTCTTCGAGGGAATCCATTTTGGGGTCTTGTATTGGGTCCCCTTTCTCTGCCACCTTGTCATTGACTTGCAAGGAAAGCTCTGCCACCACTTTGCTTCTCGTGCTGCTGGACGAGGCTGAGATCTCGGGGGCCGGAGCACAGAGCCCCCTCAAGTCCTTCTCCCAAGGACACATAACTTCCTGCTCTGGACTCAGTTTTGTCTCTCCTTTTGATATGTCGTCTTCCAGGAAGGTGAGCCTCCCCCTTTCTGAAGTTTTCTCCCTCTGCGCTGCTGAATCATTCCCCATCTCTTGTTCCAGTCCCTTCCCAGTAGCTCCTTCAGTCGCCTCCCAGGGACAGATCTTGGCTTTTTCACTGGTAAGCGTTTCCTCCGCTTCCCAGGGACACACCTCAGCTGGCCTGCACCCCGCAAGGCCCGGTTCCTGGGATCCAGCTTTGGGTCTGTCAGTACCCACAGCGTCTGAGCACCGAGAGGAGTCCTCTGGATCCACACGCTCCCGGGAACAGGCCACCTCCTGCTCCCAGGCCGGCCTCCCTGGTTTCTTTGGAGCAGTAACAGCTATCTTGCCAGGTCCAGAATCTGCAGGATCCTGTTCTGTAATGTTTGGTGATTTCCTCATGGCCTCAAGTCCCAAAGCTCGTTCCTCCCCTGGGGCAGCACTCCCCTCCCAGGGGCAGATCTCTGCCTTCCCAGCAGGCAGTTTGCCCTCCACGTCCCATGGACAGATCACAGCAGTTTTGCTCCCCACACTGCCTGACACCTGGAAACTGGCTTTGGGTCTCTCTGAGTCTTGATGTTGTGGGGGAAGGTGGCCAGTGCCCACACTCTCCCAAGAACAGACTACTTCCTGCTTTTGGAGCTGTCCCTCAGGCTTTTCCCAAGCTGTGACATCTTTGAGTCCTGAGGTTTCAGGTGTTTTCTCCTTGTCCTGAGATTCTTCTCCTTTGGGTGCCTGTCGCGATACCCAGTCCTCTGTTCTTTCATTTACCTCCCAGGGATTGATTTCTGCCTTGGCAGGTGTTACTGCCTTTAACTCTGGCCTGACGTCTTTGTGTGGACGTACCTGCGTGGCTCTGATGCCTCCATTGCCGAAGAGTCGGCCACCAGCTCTGGGTGAGGAATTGTCCACACGTGGGCTGGAGGGCCCATGGTCTGTGCTCTCCCAGGGACACGCTGACTCCTCCCGTGGACTAGATGTCTGCACTGCCTTCCCAGTTTGTTCCCTCATCTCTCCAAAGAGCCCTTTCCTGGAGGCTTGCCCCGCTCCTTGGAGAGATTCTCCACCTGTCCCCCGTTGCAGCATTTCCTTTCTCCCCACCTTGTCACCCAGCTCCCAGGGACAAATCTCTGCTTTCCTGAAAGCAGGAGCCTCTTCTGCCTCCCACGGACACATGTCCGCAACACTCCCTGAAGCCCCGGGGGTCCCTGGGGCTTCAGTAGAGACTGCCAAGGGGCCACGGAAATCAGTCCTCTCCCACAAACAAAGAGATTCCAAGTCTCTGCCAGGTTCCTGTTCTTTCCAGAAGGTTGCTTTCTCGGGGGTTTTCTGCTTTTCCTGGTGGAGTTTCTTCACTCCCCCCTGGGACGGTTTCTCATTTTCTCCTTCACTTGCCTCCCTAGGACAGAGCTCTGCCTTGACGAAGTCAGGCGTACAAGCCTCTGGGCCTGTGACTTCCTGCCAACACTTCTCCCCCTCCCTAGCCCCTGTACTGCCTGCCTCAGACCTGCGCTTGGTTCTCTCAGAGTCCCGGCGGGCTGACTGAGGGGACAGACCCCTGGGATCGGCATTCCCCCAGGGACACACTGCCTCCTGCCCCCTGACCAGCCTCTCTGGCCTTTTCCAAGCCATGGCAGCCACATCTTTGGGCTCTGGTTCTTCTGGGGCTTTCCCTCGCACTTCTTGGGAGTCATCTAGATCTTGCCTTAATGTTCCCCTCTCGGGGCCTCCTTCATTCGTCTCCCAGGGGCAGACTTCAGCCTTGTTGCTGCCAGGCAGACATGTTCCTGACCCGGCAACTCTGCAGGGGCGCGCCTCTGCCGCAGCCCTGCAGCCAGCACGGCCCAAGGGCTGGAGGCCTGCTCTGAGCGCTTCCTCCCTCCCTGCAGGGGCTTCTTTTGCTCGCTCAGCATTTGTGTCCCCAACTGTGCCCTGCCGGACTTGTCTCAGTGCGGCAGGCCCTGTTTCACCTGCTCTCTCAACATGCCCCTCCCCTTGACCTGGGGATGTCTTCCTGCCTCTGTCGTCTTGTTCCCTGTCGCCCTCCTGGCCACAGACGCGGAGCATTCTGCTGGTATGAGCATTCTGTTGGTTCTGGAGGGACTCCTCATCTTCGCAGGGGGCTAGGGCCGCCTGCTTACTCACCGCCTTGCGCCCGCCTAGCCTGGGGGACCCGGGGCGTGCACCCACACCTTCTCCTGAAGCCCTGCCCCTCTCCCTCTCGGGACTCCCTGCTCCACTCTCCTTTTCTCTGTGTGTGCTCCGAGAACGGGTCAAAGCTTTGATGGCCAGGCCTAGGCTGCGCACAGAGCCCTGCTGAACAGGAGTCTTGAGGCTGTGGGATTTAGAGAAGACCTTGGGCCGGCCCTCATCCACGTCACCAGCTTCCCCCTGGAGACGTCTGTCCTCCGCGTCCATCCCATTCTCCCCAGCACCCTTTTTCTCTACTGCAACAGAGAGGGCCCTCCAGAGCCTGGCTCGAGCTGGGGCAGGGGAATGGTCACCTCGCTCTGGCCCCGAGGAGCCGCCTTGTGCCACATTTTCTTTCTTGACTGGCAGTTCTGCATTCTCCCAGGGGCAGATGAAGGTGAGAAAGCTGGGGCTTTGGGGGGTAATGGGGACTTGGGCCAGGGCAGGGACGGGGGCCAGAACCAGGCCTGAAGCTGGTATCAGACCTGGGGCCAAGGTAGAAGTGGGAGACAGCATCCTTGGATCTCCCAGGCAAGCCCCAGAAAGGGCTTTGATGGGCGTGGAGACCTGATGCTGGATGGGTGGATGCAGCAGCCTCCTCACAGCCCCCGCCTGAAGCTGCCCAGAGGCAGAGGAGCTGTCCATGCTGCTGCTCTTGGCAGGGGACGGTGGGGCTGACAGAGCGGCTCCCCGCGCTCGCTCCAGCCTCCTGGCCGACGGCCTCTGAACTGGGCTCGCCAAAGCTGCCTCTGCCTGCCTTCTCTCCTCTTGCTCCTTTGCCTGCCGATAGGTCTCCTCCAGGTAGGCCTGGCTGGCCACGAGCAGGGCCTTTTCGCTGGAGCCAGCCATGACGCTGAGTGACTTCTGCAGGGAGGCAGGCCGGGCTCTGGGGAGCCCCTCTCCCACTGTCAGGTTGTGGGCGCTGGCCGACCTAACGCCCAGGGCAGGGGGCCCCTCCCCCGCATCCCGGCTCTCTGCCCGCGAGGCCCTCTTGGGCAGCTGCCTCCTTGGCGGTGAGCCTAGGTGATGTGGGTCCTGCTGCCTGCGGTGGCTGCGGTCATAGGTGCTGCGGGCTTTGCGCAGGGCCAGTGGCCCCTCGGCTTCCTGGAGGCTGGAGCTGAGGAGCCTGCAGCGGGCGGAGCTGGGCAGGCTGCCTCGGCCCGGGGACCCCGAGTCCCGGGAGTGCCGCCGGGCCAGGGCCTCGGGGAACTCAGCCAGGTACCTCACGAAGGAGCGGCCCAGGCCCTGGAGCGAGCTGCCCCGCTTCTTGGGCAGGTGGGGGTTGTTGGCAGCCATTTCCTTGGTCTTGTGGACCTCCAGCTGGGCATAGAGTTTCTTCAACTCCTCCTGGGGGACAGGAGGAGTGAAGAGAGCAGAGCTGACATTGGGGTGAATGGGCTAGTCGCCCTCCCTGGCTGCACTGTTATTCCCTTCCGCCCTTGTTAAGGCCATTTGCTCTGGGGGAATCTGTTTCCCACCAAGCAGTGTCCCTTCCTGGCTTTTAAACCTCTCAGAATTCAGCTGGTTCCCAGCTGACCCACTCAGCTCTGAGGATGCGGCGGCCTGTACTCCCTTCCCTGGGCCACTGTGGTCTGGCGGGCCATCACCAACTTGGGAGACAGGAAACCTGAGTCTGAGGCTGCTGCCCCATCAGGTGCCTCGAGGCTATTTTCTTAACCTCTCTGAGCCTCTGCGTCTAAGAAATGACAGTAACTGTGTTAGCTTTCTTAAGAGGATTGTATGAGATTGATGCCACTAGTGGCATGAAAAGTGCCGCATTCAGGGGTAAATGATACAGTGGGGCTTTGAAAGTCTTTTATACTTTGGATTTCTCCCCAGAGCCAGCAGAGAGTAGCTTGGGGTGGCGTGGCTGTGGCAGTGGTCTGCACACTCTCGGGTCCCTGCTGGATCGGGGTTTCAGTCCAGCCTATGCCCAGGGGCAGGAGGCAGGGAAGGCACAGCTCAGAGCCTGCGGAGGACACAGGTGGGAACAAGGGGCGGAGGCAGCTGGACAAGGAAGGAACTGGAAGAGGCGCACAAGTCAGGTGTGATGGGGGCCCAGCGGAGGTGCAGGGGATGAACAAGATGGCTTCTGGAGTGTTTTCCGCACTGTCGGTTTTATAGAACAATGGGCTGAGGCCACTAGGTAGGTCTCCTCAGTTCCTACGCCCCGAGCCCTGAGCGCCTCATTAGGGTTCCCTTGACTGTAATGACTTCCCTAACCAGAAAAATGAAGAGTATGGATGCTCCCCTGCTGTAAGACTCAGGAAGGACTTCCTTTCTCTAAGAATCCAGGTCCAGGGAAAGGGGGTCCTGGTATGGAAACCCTTGGTAGCCCCCCACAGCCTGCACTGCCCAGCCCCAACTGACACTAGAGCCGCCAGCTGCCCCGTGTGCTGGGGACTCCAGCTTCTTCGTCTGCTCCTTGTGATGCCCCTGCCGCATGGAGTAGGGGCATGGAGGATTAGAGCTTCACTTACAGGGTCTTTCACTTGGGTTACATGTGGCCTTCTTTAAAGAGGGGCAGTAGCTTCAGGTGGTGATAGAGAATGGCGGGAGGCATGCCTTAGGGAGAGGGAAGGCTAGGAGCGGGCGGGCGGTGCTCCCTGAAAGCTGACACCAACAGGAGGCAGAGAGGGCGGTGCATACCCGGATGTCTCCAGGGTCCAGGCTGCGCTCGCTCCATGCTGAGGCTGTGCTGCTGTCAAAGTAGGAGCCGGAACGCTGCAGGTCCAGCTCATCCTCGTACACCTCATCCACCATCTCCTCTCGGGGAGGCGCCCCCATCTTCCGGAACTGGCCAGGGGAACGGGCATGACTGGGACGGACTCTCCTCGCCTCCCTGCTCATGCCTCCTCCCCCTGCCCCATGGAATACATCATTCCTTCAGGACTCTTCACCGCACCCCCACCCCCGCTTCAGAATTCTGGGGTCCAAAGGCTTTTGCTCTCTCTCATCTTTCCTGATCTTCTCTAGCTTAGAGACCAAGGAGACTCAGCCTCCTGCCCCTACAACTCCTAGCCATGTCCTCAGCTCTCCTCCTCTGTAACTGCTTCTGTGTTGATTTTCGGAGTCCACCAACCTTAAGGCTGTGTTGCAAGGACCCCTCCAGCCCCAGCCCTTATTTCCCTGGGAAGCCCCAGGGATTGGAGGCCTCCTCCCCCACCCTCCTCCATGTGAGCTCCTTGCTTAGGACCCCTGTTGATCAGAGACCACACACCTGCAGGGTGTCATCCTCACCCTGACCTGGAGAGGGCGCTGCTATTGCAGCAGAGCCATAGTGCCCCTGACAAAGGGGCTGGGTTTCTGCCTGAGGACCAGAAAGAGGAAGACCTCACCTTGGGGATGAAGATCAGAGCCAGGGAGGCAGTGACTGTGCTGTGGGTGTGGAAGAAGAAGAGGAGGAGGGTCCAGTCTGGGTGCAGGGAGGGAACCAGCAGAAACCTGAGAGCATGAAGGAAGGGAGATTCTTATCTGTGGGTGGGAGTGACCTCTTCCTCCTCAACCGACTCACTAGTCCCAGCCCCAGCCCTGATCTCCATAGAGGTGCTGGCAGGGCAACGAGAGCACCCTTCCTTCCTCTCACCCTCTCTGGGATGTGGGTCCTACCTTAAGGCGCCGTTAGCACCCACCTCTGAGACGCCCTCCCATAATACTCCAGCTGGCCTTCTCTGGCTGCCTGTAGTACAGCTTGTGCCCCACAACTCTATTATGGACCAGCCTATGCATGGATTCTGCCTCCACCACAGGGCCAGGTCCTTAGGGACACACAGCAGGCCAGCTGCTGGGGCAGCTGCGGTGTGAGGAGGGAGAAGGCAGAAAGAACTGAGGAAGTGCGGGAGGGTGCTTCCTCTGCTTGGGGGCTGGGTGAGACATGGGCGCAGCAAGGGTGTCTGTGGGGCAGGGAGAGAGATACAGGTCGGGGGCCTTCCTCACCTTGCTGAGACAGCAATGTTGTAAGGGTGGCCATGGGAAAGGGGTACCCTCATCTGGGAAAAACAAGGAGCAGTGTTCGGTGGGGAGGAGCTGTGGGTAGGTGCGACCATCCTCACCTGGCTGCGTGGAAGGCAGCGGAAAGCAGCAGCTCGTTGTGCAGGGCGATGCCCATGTAGCGTGGCTCGTGGAAAGCTGAGGGCACAGCCCGGGTGGCGTAGCAGAGGAAGCTGCCCCAGCACAGGAGCAGCACCTCGGCTGTGGGGGAGCAGGGAGGGACAGAGCCGGCACCGCCTTAGCTAGGCCACCCCTTTCTCTCTAGGGCTTGCTGGGGTCCTGGGCCAGGGGTCCAGGTCCAAGGCAGGAGGAGCAGGACCAGAGGACCCATGGAGGTGTGGAAGCAGGGGACAGAGTAAGACCAGGCTTGGGGAAAGCAACTCACCCATGACCATGATGTAGTCCCAGTGGTCATGGTGGCAGAGGTAGAAGTGGCGCCCCGTGGGAGTGTGGCCTCGGGTCACCAGGGGCATGTGCAGGGTGCCTCGCTCCAGGACCCCCACCGTCCATACAGCCAGGAAGCCCAGTACTTGCAGCAGAAGCAGCCCCAGGCGCCGAAGCAGCTGCCCACTGCTTAGGAGGGGGCCCCGCTGGGCCGTTCGAGACAGAAACAGCTGGAGCACTCTGCAAGGGTATAGAAGGTGGGTGGGGCGGAGGGGCAGGACCAAGGAGAGGGGCCAGGCCTCTGTCCTCTGGCCACTGCTCCCCTAACCCCCACATATACCTGTCTTCCCATCCCTCCCGTGGCTTGCTGCGTCCTTACCCCTGGAAGAGTGATGTGGAGGGGAGGACTATAGTGACCACAGTGATAAGGGCAGGCTTTGGGGACAGGGGAGGGGAACTGGTAAGAATCTTACTGTGGAGAACTCCATTCCATCAGTGAGCTGGGGTGGCCAGGAGTGAGCAGCGTGAGAGCAGGCTCTGCTCCAGCCCCTACCTATAGAGCTTGAGTATAATGGTGCCGTAGACAATGGCAAAACCCAGCAGCCGGACCCAGCGGAGAGCAATGCAGCGGAACACACTGGGCTTGAAGTACAGGATGAAGACCTGGTGAGGTGGGAGCGAAAATGGCTGTTTTCCACTGCACTCCCGCTCTGTGCCAGGCCTGTGCTAAGCACATTGTTGATCTAACAGCCTTGCCATAGAAGCAGCATCACCTCCATTCTGCATAGCTTAAGCAGTTTAAGAATAAGAAAGATAAGCTACCTTGTCCTAAGTCGCACTGCAGGTCATAGGGCTCTTTTAAACCTGGACTCCTTGCTCCCAGAGCTCACTAGTCCAGCCTGCCACTTGTGGATCGGAGTCGGGGGGTTTGGAGGTCTCTGAGTCCTCCCAAGAGGACAGAGAGGAAGAAACATTCTGGGGTTTGGAGTTGGGACTGTGGGGAGGTCAGCCTCTGGCCACGAACTCACAGGGAAGTAAAGCAGCAGGGATCCAAGAAGGATGGTCTCCAGCAGGACAATTCCAGATGCCCGGATCCTCTGTGAACCCAGGAACAAGAGGCGAATAAGCAGGTCAGTCATTGGGGGCACAAAGCCTGGACGATAGTGCGGGAGAGTCTTAGGCCTGTTTTAGGGGTCACTCAGTGGCCCTGAACTAAGACTTCTCCCTGTAACATTAGCTCAACCTTCCAGCCACAGCCGCGCCCCTGTTCCCATCACAGGCTCTTGGTTCCCCGGGCACTAAGCCTGGCTAAGGCCCAGGTTTCAGACCCCAGCAGCCCAGCCCCATTCGCCTCCCAGCCCCAGCCTGGGCCTTGCTGCAGACCTGGGCTCAGATCAGAGGCTGCTGGAGCTAGAAGATACCTCAGGCATTTTCCCTAAGCTTTGGTTCAGACTGTTCCCTTGTCTAGATACCCCCTTCTCTGCCCGGTAACCACCCAGTTGACCTTCAAACCTGGCTCAAATGTCACATTCTCCAGAAAGTCTTCCCCATGCCAGCTCAGGCAGGACAACTGGGCCCTTTCTCTGAGCTGCCAAAGAAACTGACACGTAACTCCACTCTCTCCATCCTCTCCCCGTCTTGCTGCCCTGTCATTTGTTCATGTGCCTGCTTCCTCCGTTCACCTGGGAGCTGCACAAGGGCCCCGGCCATCTCCCCTAGTACCTACGCACTGCTTTGAATCACATCCAGTGCCTTCATTTTCCAGGTGAGGAAACAGGTCCAGGGTGGTGAGGGCACTTGACTAATGTCACATATAGTATGTTAGATTAATACTCAAGACCAGAACCCACTTCCAAATTCTAGCCGTAGGTAGCCTCTGGCCTCCAGCTGATGTTAGGGATGCAAGCTGGGCAGGAGGTGTGTGCTGAGGGAGGTGGGGAGCCTCCTTACCTTGCTCTGGCGGCAGCGGTAGGAAACCAGCATGCTCAGGAAGACAGACAGCATGCAGCAGGCCTGGCAGGCCAGCACTGCTGCCCGCAGCGCCACGGCCGCCTCCACCAGGCACGGTGTGGCATCCCTACAGCTGGCGCAGCTCTCGGCACATGGCTGGCACCGAAGCGGCTTCCCGGAGCTGCCTTGTGGTGACACAAATTGCCCGGGAGGCTGGGTGGCGCTCTCCTCTGACCCTATGGAGGACAAGATGGGTGCAGAGAGAGGGGCATGGCTGGGGCATCCTGAGATCCTACTCTTCTCTCCCAATGGTCATCACAGCCCTCTGCCTGCCCTCCTTTGGTGGCCTTCCTTGGTCAGGAGGGGAGGAATGAAGACATGGGTACTCCCAAGGGAGGGCAGGGTAACGGGAAGAGGTGATGCCAAGCCAGGGCTCATCGCAAGGTCAACTCGCAGCAGACTGGCATGTTATAGGCTCATCCTCAAACTAGATCCTGCCTGCCTCTTCTGCTGCTCTCAACCCAGGAGGAAACCACGTTTCCTCCCAGTGTCTTACCCCAGCCTGCCTTGCCCAGACACCTGCCTCCAACAAGCCCAGCCTCTGATACGCCTGCCTGGCCCTCACCACAGTTACATACCCCTGGAGTGGCTTGCCCCATAGAAGCCCGGTCGGCAGCGGCAGAGGTAGCGGCCAAGGACAAAGCCCTGACTCTCCAGAGGGATGCACTGTGGGAACGACAAAAAAACGATGGATATTTGTATGGGGCTTTCTCTCTCGGGAAGAAATGGAGGCTCCATCTACCTTTCCATCCATCGCGCCTGGGTCCGCACTAGGGCGTCTCACCAGAAGCCCTCTCTAGTCCCAGGGAAGCCTTCCCTCTAAGGAAATCCCACTCAGCCCCACCCCCACTGCCTGTCTTCTTAGGGACACCCAAGCAAAGAGTGTGGTGTAGATCACCCTTTTATTCAGACCGGCAGTGACAGGAGTCTCACAGGTCCCATTTCCCAGTGCCCAGCTGTTGCTAGAATGAGGTGCTGTGGGAGGTGGAAGTAGGAGGAAGAACTGAGCCCAACCACACCTGTGTACCTACATCCTGCTTCAAAGGGTCCCGTCAGCCTCCCTCTTTGGCACACAGGTGGACTGAAAAGGCTGCCACAGAGAAGCAGCTTCCTCCGTCAGGGGCCATCTGGCTTTGGCACAGGACTGCTTTCCCCAGCCCTAATGCCAGGCTAATGCCAGGCTGGTGGAATGCCAAGCCCAGCGCTTTATTCCACCTCCACCCATTAATGTTTACGCAGCAGGGGACAGCAGACCTCAGAGTCAGGTGAGGAAGATGAGCCCATGGATGAGGCCAGATCTGCTTGCTGTAGGGAGCGGCCAGGAATAGACAGCATCAGGCAAAGGCAGGGGTAAATGCTCGGAGATTCTATATCCAGCCAGACTTCCACCAAGACAGATGAAAGGATGCTGCCTCTGAAACCATGGCCCAGCTTCCCCTCTTGCCTGGACCACCGGAACATGATCTGCTCCTGCCACGGTCTGCACAATCAGGCAAAAAGCCTGCCCAGAGATGTGAATGTGGCTGGGTTTTAAAAGGTACTGGACAACAGGATCCCTTCTCTGCCCCTAGGCTTATAGCTCCAAACACATGTGCCCTGAAGAGCAGTAGATGCCCAAAGCAGCCCCACCTGCCAGCAGGCTGCAGGGCTCACTTTGGCTTCAGTTCACCTCAGGGACAAGCCTGCAGCCAGTGTAGCTGTGGAGCAGAGTAGTACACTGGCCTCCCGGTTCCCTAGTACTGGGCTTGTGAGATTACCAGCCATTGCTTTCCATTGTCCAGATTCTCCCGCATCCATGGCTTTGATTCCACTGGCATCTGGCCTGGCTTCCATTACCTATACCAGTCCCAGAGCTCTGCAAGCTCCTGCTTAGGTTGGACCCCTCCCACACCGCAACCAGTGATTCAACTTATTTCCACAAACACCGGCTAAGCGTCTTCTGTGGGCCAGAAGGAGCCTGGAGCTCTGTTGACATGATATGACAATGTGGTCCAGGAGAAGGGAAAGGGGTGATTAATAGAGGCTCAGGAGACGGTCCTGGAAAGGGAGTTTGGAGCACCCAGTACCAGAAGGGAAAGCAGACAGGCACACTGAGATTTCAAAGCAATGAAAGTGGTTGTCTTGGGTGAAGGGTGGGGGTAGGCTGTAAGTGTCCTCACTTTTTAAAAGCCTGGAAGCTATTTTTATCTCATCACTAGAAAGTCCCCTGAGAGGCTGGTGTGACTTTGTCAGCTGCTTCTGGGAGCTGGGTGGCGGCAGTGGTGGGAAAGGCAGAGGGAGGCAGGACCCTAGCGCCACCCCTCCCCTTCCTTACCTGGGTGCTGTTGAGATCACACAGGTGCGTGCCGGAGTACCAGCCTGGCCCGCCGGCACATTGATTGATGTCCACACTCTGAATGTCTATGTCCATCTGCACCTGCCCCCTAGGGCAGTGAATTGGCAGTTAGTGACACAGTGAAGGATGTCAAGGTAGACTTGTGTCTTTGGGCTCCAGACTACGGGCAATGCAAGCCCTGCAAACTAGCACAGCGGCTGCAGTGTGTAGAGAGAGGGCACATGTGCATTCCATTTCTCCAATGCTGTTAACCCTCACTGTCTGCAGGCAATAATCCCTCTCCCCATAGGTTGTCCCTCATCCTCCCATCCCTCAGCTTTTCAGCATCCTAGCATTGCCTGGTTTCCATCAATTGGTAGAGGAAGGGAACGTGTCAAGACATGTGGGAGCTGGGACTTTGATGATCTGTCTGGAGGGGATTTTCACACTCCCCCACTGCATGCATACACACACACTCTCACATTCGCACATACAAACATGGTGCTCAACTACTAACTGCTCCTCACTCTGCCCAAACCAGGTCTGAATTTATTATAGCAAAGCAGATATGGGATGGAGGAGCCCAGAGTTAGGGCTGCTTGGCCCAAAGGTTCCCAACCCCTGCTCTCGTTGAGTGGGGAAAGAGCTGGCAGGGAGCCAGACTTCCTGCTGGCAGCAGGGGGACCCTACTGGGGACAATGAAGGGGGACACAGAGCTGGTAAAACAATGTTGCTTGTTGAATGACTTGAAGTACTGTGCCCTGTGGCTCCCTCCTTCCCACCAGAGCTCCCACCCACGTTTTTACTCTGACTGAGAGGGGTCAGTTATTTGAGGGGTATCGCAGACCCCTGGAGTCAGGATAGGCAAGACCGTGGAACCTACTTGATATAAGAATATAGCCCTTGGGAGTCACCCTGGGACCTGGCCAACTCCCAGACAAGAAGGACAATGGTTTTATCCCCCATCCTCCCCAAGAATTTCCTTTCTCTTGGAAAAGCCTCCTTTTACAGCTCTGGGTTGCTAGAAAGCAGCAGGTTTAGCTCCTAAAGTGCCCACCTGGCTCCTCTAAGATGCCTGCTGTATGGATCATCATTTTCATCCACATGAAGCCATCTCTCATGTCTCTTATACCCACTACTCAGACCTGGGGGCCAAGACTACCCCAGGCTATACCCACACATCTGCACACACACCTACATGTATAACTATGTGCAAATACATTGATTCATACACAGTATGTACACTCATACCTATATGTGTCAACACATAGTTACACATTCCCAGAGTTGACTGCAAATACACACTGCTGAATGCAAATATACACATCTGGGTTCCCCAAACACACAAGTGCATGCCAAATGGTCCATGCACAGCTGGATGGAGGTGGGCTCCCCACCCCAAAAAACCTACAAATGCATCGAATCCTGCACAAACCCACCTACCTGACCTCCGGGCTGAGGTCTGGCTTGAGTCCATAGAAGGTGGATGAAAGCGTGATAAGCCATCCAGGACGAAGCTGGCCCTCCTGGCATTCCAGGAAGGGAGGAGACAGCCTCACATGCTGCATGTCCCCCAGATATCCATCTCCCCGTGGCCACTTGGGGCTTCCGAGGGTCCCAAGGTCATTGATCAGCACCCGCTTCTGCAGGGCAGGAGTGTCCAGAGTCCCAGTTAGGCTCTCTTCCAGCACCCTGTTCCCAGACAAGTCCTGAAGGATGGTCTCCTCCCCCATTCGGGTGGCCTGCAGGGCCAGCTGCAGGCGGCTGGCCCCTGGCGGAGGGTTAAAGATCAGCAAAGCCCGGTATGCCCTTGGGTCCCCTTCGGCCACGCTGCGGACCAGCGCCTGGTACCACTCCACATCTTCCTCCACACTTGACTCGCGGATATCATTGGCTTGTAGCAGCATATTGAGGAAATTGGCGGCCTGGGCAATGGTGCCCGCTGCCCTCCCTAGGATCGGGGGCACCCCCGGACTGGCTTCTGCTCCCTGAACTTCATAGCGCACACTGCAGTTAGTCCTCAACAGTTGTTGGGCATCTCCAGAGTAGAGAAAACCCAGGGCTGCTTCAGCACCTTGTGGGGGCACCCACATGGGTATATATTCTGGCTTGACTTGGGAGGACAGCGAGGGCAGAGGGTGCAAGGGCTGCAGATCCCCCAGAGCCCAGCCACAGAGGAGACAGCAGCCCAGCAGCCCCCACACAGGAGACGGCATGACCACGTTCCCGGTGCCCATCTTTGGGGCAGTTCTCGGGGCGCCTGGGGGCCGGGGTGCCTGGGGGATTTGGTGGCTCAGGAGAGCGCAGGTAGAGCCTGGCTGCAGTCTGGGGCTGCCTGCCTTCCCGATGGCTTTCTTTGCATTCTCTCTCCCTCCCTCCCTCTTACTCTCTGCTTGTGCTGTGTTGCCTGTTTTTTCTTCTTTCTAACATCATCAGCTGGCTTCTGGATGTAGGCATGGGGGCCCTCCCTCCTCTTCATGTGGCCCCCATCAAAAACCCTCTTAATCCTGGCACACCACTCTGTCCTCCCCCTACTATCCAATATCTAGGGTCCCTCCTCTCATTCTCCACCCTACATCTGTTCCAGAGAAAGAGATAGATGGGAGGGGAGAGGAAGAGCCCAGCCGTTCTCTCTCTCTCTCTTTCTGCCTCCCTCTGCCCTTTGCTCCATTAGGAGAGATGGGCAAATCCAGGATAGGGTGTCATAGCAACCGCAGATGAGCCCTTGCTCCTCTCTCCACCCCTCTGCTCCAGTCAGCCTCCTGGCAGCAATTGCAACGGGCATGAGAAAGGGCCAAGCTGCATCTCCTGGCAATCTGCTCTTGCTGCCTATAGCCCTGACACTGTGCTGCTGGACTGGAAATTTGAGATTGGGGGTGGTGAAGGTGGGAAAGAGAGCTTCATATAACCACAGTCAGTCATTGTACGGACTGTGGCGGTTTATAAAGTCTTTTTCATGTGCATTATCTCAACAAATCTTGCCCACAACCACATATGGTGACAAGTATCCCCGTTTCACAAAGGCAGACACTGAGGCTCAGAGACTCATTCAAGGTCACCTAGGTGCTCACTTTGAGTTGAGACTCAAACCCAGAGCTCCAATTCCCCTACAGTGCTCCATCAAACCACGACTACTACCTGGTTATTCATCCCCAGAGACCTTAATCAAGCCCCACTAAAGAGGAGTAAATCAAACACGGCGAGGTGAAGGGGCTTCCCTCGGACCGCACTGTTCCTTGTGACAGTGCACGATCCTCCACCTGGCTTCCACCTCCCCACCCAAGGGATCCCTCCACCTGCATCACGGAGTTGACAACCACAGCCAGTGGGGTGGAGGGAAATAGGGGCAGGGAGAAGAGAGTGAATGGGGTTTTGCTTTCACTTCTTCCACCTTCATTTTGTCATTCTAAATTCCTTTCTTCCCGAAAACCGTGCCTAAGCTTTCTTGCTCTTCCTGGTTTTCTTACTGCTCACACCACTCCTGCTGGACACATAACCAGGAGATCAGTTAGTCTGAGGCAGCTTCCCTGGATCGGAAGGGTGTGAATTCTTGCAGGTAGCCACAGAACAAAGCCCCTGCCTTCCTCTCCCTACTTTTTCCATCACCTTTCCATCGTTGATACACTTCTCACTCACTCAGTTATCTGGCCCCAGATGCACATGCTCTCTTTTGACTCCTTCCCTTCTCTCTGCTCCCCTCAACCTTTGATGTCCCAGATCACTGAGTGTATGCAGGAAGGGACAGGTGGAGGTTGCTGAAAGGTTCCCTTACTTTACAGGTGGCCTCTGCAAACAATTATGCCTTAGAGCCCTAAGTGGGAATGTAAGAGGTGGGAGAACAAGAGGCTGAAAGACAAGCCTTTAGCAGACTCTCTAAGATGTCAGAACTAAACAGTGCCTATAGCCAAGAACGTTCTCTAACAGAGAAGGAAACTGAAACTAAAACTGAATGTCAGCCAAGTGACCTTCTCAAGGCCATAAAGCTAGTGAGTGGTTACTGGGGTCAGGCATGTATCACACTGCATAGCTTTCCCCTTGGCTGCTCTGATGTTGTGTGCTAACTAACCGAGAGAGGGACAGAGGGATTATCAGTTACTATTAGTTAAGGCCAACAAAACACACTGGGTGAAGACCTAACAGTAAGTTGTTTCTTTTTCCCCTCAAGAAGCTTTCCACACTAATAACAACTAGCATTTGTATAGTGCTTTAGCATTTACATGTAATCCCCACAACAGCCCGATCAAGGGGGATTATTATTGACCTACTTTTTTTTTTTTTTCAAATGAAACACAGGTTCAAAGATGTTTAACTATTTGCTCTTGGTCATGCATCCAGGAATTGGTATGAGTGGGACAGAAACGAGATAACAAGCTCCAGTGGGACAGGAACTGAGCCTGTCGCCCTCATCACGGCACCCCAGAAGCCTGGCCACTGCTGAGTGACGTAAGTGAACTGCAGGACTGGTTTAGGTGATCTGAATTGTCCTTCGCAAACTTTAAAAACTAGGATCTTACCACTGCAGGGACCACTTATATAGTCTTCAGTGAAAGAGGTATGTGTAGACACAAAACCTGCTCAACACACACCGATCCAACTCATACGTTATATTTCCTTTGCTTGGATATTAATTTTCAATGTTTTTTTCTAGGACATGAGCTACAGGCCTGGACATTTAAAGATATGGAGAAAGGTAACGTTCTGTGCCCTGTCTTTTAAAAAGAGCCTGTGTGCCTCTGTGTACTCTGGGCAGGTGGAGATACCCCAGATGGCAAGCAGAGCCTCCCTGTGGGGCTAAGAAAGTAGATGGACAGCAGAGGGCGCTGCAGAGCTACAGACCTTGCATTACCCCGCCCTGTAATCTGTTCTGGGGCCAGTTTTTCTGACACAGCCCGCGATCTTAGGTGGCCCCAGGTGTTTGTGACCCCACAGCAATTTCTCCTTTTCTCCAGAAATCTCAATGATGCCTAAGAGATAGCTGAGGGAGAGAGGCTAAAGAATAAAATGCTTGGCATCAGACAGAGCTGGTTTTGAATACCATTGCAACTTTTTGTACTGTGCGATCTTAGGTGAGTAACTGAGCTTAATCAAGTTTCTTCATGGGCAAGGAAGGATATTCTGTTGTGCTGAATGAGATAAATTTGTATCAGGAGACTCTTAAAAAGTGTGAGGTTATTATCAAGGGCCTACTCTGTGCCCAGAAACAGTCCTTGGCCCTGGAGAGTCCACAATGGGCAGATGTGGCCCCTACGTTCATGGAGCTGACAGCTTAGTGATGGAGACAGACTAATCAAATAAGCCCACAGATAGCTGGCAAATAACATCTGTGCAATTAACTGCAGCAAAGGAGTGGTCTTAGACCTCAGTGAGAAGGAAGTGCCCTGCCAGGGAGATTTATTTCCCTGAGGTAGTGAGTTGAATCTGAAGAATGAGTAGGACTTTACTAAGCAAAAAAAAAAAAAAAAAAAAAAAAAAAAAAAGGGGGGGGCCGAGGGAAAGCCTTCAAGAACAGGGAATAGCTTATGCAATGGCCATATACATGCAAGCTTGACACAGGGCTATTGGAATTGCAGGGGAGAGAGAACAAGGCGGGGCTTGGTGGGAGATGAAGCCAGAGAGGGGCAGGGTCAGATTACACAGGACCCCAAAAGCCTCCCTAAGGAGTTTTGTCTTTAGCTAAAAACAATGGGGAAAATAATGGGAAGTCATGAAGCATTATAATCACTGGCCATGGACACATTTCCATTTTAAAAAGGTCTCTCTGACTGCGGGAGTCATAGCAGACTCTCGACCCTCTTTCCCTCAATGCACCCTTGGGTACCAAAGTTACTAAGTTCTGCTGGCTGCTCCTTCCTCCTTACCCTTTGTATCCCTAGACACCTTGCAGGGAATCATTACAATCGTTTTCTAATTGGTCTTCCAGCCTCCAGTCCAACTTTCCCTACACAACAAATTTGATCTTCACAACATTCCTGCAAGTAAGCAAAGCAGCAATCCTTGTTCCTGTTTTGCTGATGAGAAAACTGTGGTGCTATGCAGCTGGCTCATGCAGGCTTATGAGAGCCAATTATTAAAATTTCAGGAGTTCTGCAAGCCAGTTGTTAATCACAGCCACTGTTAAAATTATACAACTTTATAATGAAATGAATATTAAAAACAAAGCTAATGTTAAATAAATTCTTAAAACTCATCACTTCCTAATAATTTTACTATTATTAGTTATCTGTGCTCTTGGGGTTATTGATATTGCTGTATCTTCATGATGAACTGCTCCATAATGTATGCTACTGCTCATCTCTTTGGTAGATTGAAAACGGCCATGATGGGAATGTTTACACCATGGAAACTGGCAAACCATACAAATTTAGTGTTTTGTTGATTACCTAGATTTAAGAAAGTGATGGAGAAAATGTTAATAATTCAGATTTAATTTTTTTTAGCTGATGCAAAGGTAATTTATTAACAGAAAACAATAATTTAAGGACTCCTGTTCACAGACAGTGATCACGGTGACCCTCCTTGCTGTGGGTGCTGTTGGAGGGGGTGGTGACATCCTCAATTCGTCTGATCTTCATTCCGGAGCGGGCAAGGGCTCTGAGAGCTGACTGGTCCCCGGGTCCAGGGATCTTGGTCCTATTTCCTCTTATGGCCTGGAGTTTGATGTGGAGAGCGGTGATGCCCAGCTCCTTGCACCTCTGGGCCACATCCTGGGCAGCCAGCATGGCAGCATATAGAGAGGACTCATCTCCGTCAGACTTTACTTTCACCCCACCAGTCACATGGCGGGTGGTTTCCTTGACGGAAAGGTCTGTGACATGGACGTTAAATGTCATTGGAGGATGCAAAGATGTGGCAGACAACAAATACATTTTCTCCTTCAGCCACCTGAGTTCTGCGGCTGATGACCTGTTCTTCTTTTCCTTCCCCTGGCGAGGTGCCATTTCTGTGCTTTGGGTCCAGACTCTGCCACCAGAAAGTTTGACTTAAATTTAATGTGGTATGCCTGTAGCCATTAGATTGTGAATAGAATAAAAATTGCAGACATTCTCACTATCTGAAAACTGTTTTCCGGTTCAGCAAAGAGTCACTTCCATAATTGACAGTTAAGACTTTTTTTTCCTTTACTTTCCTCATACATTGACATCGAGGAAAATGTTCACGAACATTCATGTCACAGCTGCACTCCTTGGTCAACTGAAACCACAGGGCTACCTATTCAAGAGCTTGGCAAAGATCAGTGAAAGCAATCACCTGTGATAATCAATTGGTTACATGGAATTTGCAATCGTATCTTATCATTTGTTTGTAAGTGGTGTGCTACACACTTTTTACATCAGTAAAATTTATTACATACTTATGCACCTATATATGCATACATCCCCCTTTCCCTCCAGAGTGTCAGTTGTTCAACATTTATCGGCAGACCTCTGAGTCTTAGAACACATTATTCACGTGTCATTACATATTCACTGGCTGCTAGGGGTGATACAGTTGGTCAATGAAGAAATGACTCCGCCTTGGTCACACATCGCAAGTGGCACAGGCGGGACCAGAGCCAAAGTTAACTCTCAAGGCTAGCGGTTCTGTCTCAGGAGCAGACCAGGAGTCCCCAGGCTGCTCCACCTTACCGGGAGGGGTGGCTTCGACCTGAGCGCCCGGGAAGTGAAAAGCAGGGGTCGGGGCAGGGGACCAACGACCGGCGAGAAGCGGCTCACGGCCAATAGTGGACCAGGCTCGCGCAACGTCACGCTCCTTGGAGGCCGGCGCTAGCACGCCCCGGGGAAAGGGGAGTGGCCACAGCCTCCCGGAAATGATGCCTTCCGGGGGGCGGTCCTCCGCGGCGGCGGCGCGCGGCCTGGGCTCGCGCTGGGCTCCGCGCGCCCCCCGCCCCCTCTATGAGGCAGAGGCCGCCGCGGCCGTTAGCGCTGTCGCTCCGGGGCCCGCGGCGGGCGGGGCTCCGGCGGGGCCCGGCTTAGTCCCCACCCCAGCCCGGCTCCCTGCCGCCCGCCCTCCCTCCCTCTCCCTGATGCAGGGGACTGAGCTCCGGGATGGTGAGGCGGCGGCAGCGGCCGCTTCGTACCGCGTCTTGAGCCGCCTGCTCGGCTATGGAGAGGCGGCCCCCGAGCCAGGCCCGCCGCCGCCACCCCCGGGCCATGGCCCCCCGCCGCCACCCTTCCTTGCACGGCCCGGTACGCGGGGCTCCCGGCCGCCGCAGCTGATGGTGTTCCGCAACGTGGGTCGGCCGCCGGAGGAGGAGGACGCGGAGGCGGCCCCGGAGCCTGGACCCTCGGAACTGCTATGTCCCCGGCACCGCTGTGCCCTGGACCCCAAGGCCCTGCCCCCGGGGTTGGCGCTCGAGCGGACCTGGGGCCCGGCGGCTGGACTAGAGGCGCAGTTGGCAGCTTTGGGGCTTGGGCAGCCAACGGGGCCGGGGGTCAAGACGGTTGGTGGGGGTTGCTGCCCATGCCCCCCGCAGGCGCCCCCTCCGCAGCCCCAGCCGCCTGCCGCCGCCCCGCAGGCCGGGGAGGACCCCACCGAAACGAGCGACGCACTGCTGGTCTTGGAGGGCTTGGAGTCGGAGGCCGAGAGCTTGGAGACTAACAGCTGCTCGGAAGAGGAGCTGAGCAGCCCGGGCCGCGGCGGAGGAGGCGGCCGGCTTCTGCTGCAGCCCCCAGGCCCTGAATTACCCCCGGTGCCCTTCCCGCTGCAGGACTTGGTCCCTCCAGGGCGCTTGAGTAGAGGGGAGCAGCAGCAGCAGCCGCCTCCCCCGCCCCCGCCCCCTCCTGGGCCCCTCCGGCCACTCGCGGGCCCTTCTCTGAAGGGCTCTCTCAAAATCCGCCTCAGTCGCCTCTTTCGCACGAAGAGCTCCAACGGTGGTTCCGGTGGCGGGTATGGGGCCGGCAAGAGGCCTTCTGGAGAGCTGGCTGCTTCAGCTGCGAGCCTGACCGACGTGGGAGGCTCTGCCGGCCGGGAGCTGGACGCAGGGAGGTGAGACCTGCTGGGGGTTGGGAGGAGGACTGGCTGACAAACTTCCCTTTTTTCTTTCATTTCCCTTTTATTCTAACAAGATCCTGACAATCCTTCTGTGGCCTTCATAAGGAGGAAAAGAATTGGGGCTAAAGGTGGTGACATCGCTCATTAGATCAGAGCTAATTATGGGAAACAGCTTTCACTTTGAATTCATTCCCCTTGACACTTCTCAGCTGGTTAGCATCTCTCTAGTCCCGAGATGATTTGAAACCATGTCCCCACCCCTACCCTGGCCCAGCTTTTAAAGTTTTCCCAAGGTATCTGTATATTATTACCTCCCACAGGGTTGTTGCTGGTTTGGCCTTTGGGACAGAAAGTTGGTGTTGCATTTTACTTTCTCCGTATTCCAGCACCGTACCCCTTTCATACTCATGCATACAAATGATGTGAGGAGTTGTATAGGTCCACAATCAATTTGGCATCTCTGTTCCAAGTTTTTGTGTTTTCCTAGATAAACTTGGTATCTTAAGTCTATATGCTGACCAATGTCAGTGAGAATAGAAAATTGCTTTGCTGTCAAGCCCATGTGAGAATTCTAAGTATGAGATACAGGCATTGATGCATGAGTTCTAGGTCATTTGATGAAACTTCCAAACTTAGACATTGAATTTTTTTCCCTGCATTTTTGAAGGGTGGACTGTTCTCTAACACCCAGTGTTAGATCTGTAGAAAGCTGTCAACTTTTGTGTCAGTGAAATGAAACTTATCTTGTGGTAACTGCCATTGTGGTTTGTGCTGCTGAATGGGTTAGGGGAATAAATTGAGAACTTTGTGCACCAGAATCACTGGAGGAGCTTTGGGAAAAGATCAGTATGTCTTAGGGCCCAAGAATTTGAATTTTTAAAAAGCTTCCCAGTTGACCCTGAGGTATCACCTGGACTGGGAACCGCTCATCCATGGAATTCTCTTTTTAAGGGAACTTGGGTACTCAAGGAAAGTTGGTGTCAGTTTGACGTTGCTGCCATTTCTGAGCAGCTGTGCCAGGGACTCATCTTGGGGATCAGACCAAACCCAAACTCCCTAAAGAAATCAGCTGATGCACATTACCCTCTTCAAGTAGACCTGTATTTCTGCATTTGCCTCCCAGCGGACTCATGCTCAGGCCTTGGAAAGTGTGTGGCTGCTGAAACAGCTTTTTTGTAGTAGGCTCTGCATTTGATGCTCCACTTAACCAGTATAGATGAAATTTTCATCATATGGGGGGAGGGCAGGATTGAAGCTATGGGTAATGACATAGGATAGGTTGCTAATTTTCTTGTGGTTTGTCTTGCCTTTGTTCCATATTGACCAGGACTTGGTCTCAGATTTCAGACACGCCAAATATGAGGTGCGGCGTGAAATTAGCTGCTCCGTCTAATAGATTAGGAAGTGGAAAAGGCATATAACATTATACGGTTTTTTGCCTTTGGAAGCAGAATTTAATGGTCATTGGCTGCTTTGTCACCAACCATCACACTAAGCACAATACCGATTTCTGCTGCAGAGCAAATTGGCCTGTAGCTCTGAAAAGCTTAGTGCAGGGCACTGGAGAATTACATTTTTTGGTCCAGGGGCTTTTTCTGATGGATTGGAGAAGAGCTAGGTATTTGTGTACGAACGTTTGGTTGACTTGCTGTTAGGAGGCAGCATGTTGGACGGAATGTGAACATCTAATTCCATTTAGAATTCTAGCATCAGCTGTGGGACGCTGGCCAATTTTGTCTTCTCCATGCTTCTTCCTTTCTATTCATCAGTAAAATGGGAGTGATTCCTGTCTTCTCCCTGTCCTTGTAGGAACAGAATGAAAACAAGAGAACTGGAGATGGAATATTTTGTGCTTTTGGAAGAGTAATAAGATTGAGCTGGAGATTTTTTTCCTTTTTACACTTAGGATTTGGTGCTGTTAGATTTGCTCGTTAGCTTTTACACAGCTTACTGTGCGCCAGTCTTGCTGGCAGTCTCGCAGCTGTGAGAGACTTGGTATGTCTGGCCTGGGTCGTTGGGATTTCTGTGGCTCTGCACCTCCTAAAGAAGTCCGCCCTGTTGGAAGGAAGGATGAGTTTGGATTTTTAGCTTGTGCGCTTGTTTTCATTGGTAGGACCTGGAGGCTGTGAGATATCTGTTTCTTGCCAGAAGGTAGGTGCTTTTGTCTTTATTGTTGGTTGGAGTCTCTGTACTCTTTACTATATAATTTGGGGCTTTCACAGTAACCTGTGGGCATGATTCTCTTTGCTCTTCTTAACATTTTCCCCACAGCTATCACTAGAAAGTACTTTCTGCAATCATTTTGTAAGACCTAACAGTTTCCATATTTTAACATTAAGCAAAACTTTAGTTTCTTTAAGGTGCTTTAGAGTGTGCTAAGTGGACCTGCCTGGATATTCTGAGTCTTAAGTATGAGTTAGCTTAGAGAACTCTTTTGAAGCGAAGGAAGAAATGGGCCCACCAACCAATCGGGTTTCTGTTGTGAAGAACTGGGCTAGGCCTTTAACACATATGTTGGAATTCACAGAGCTGGGCTTGATGCCTGTGGGCTTCAGTGTAATATAGATTTGCTATTTCAGGAAAACCAGTAAAGTTCCCTTTTCTGTTTCACATATGTTGAGGTGATTTCCTTTATATTTGGTGAGAAACAACATTTGATCTGACTGTTTTTTGAATCATCAGGTAATACACCCTTGGTTGGAAATGGGTACCTTGTTCATTTTTTAAGTGTTATTTTTTTCCCCCTGAGTTAACGGTTGAGGCTATTACTGAGGTGAAAAAAATGGAGAGTAGTTCTGTGGTGGTTTCCTATCTATTTGTTTGGGGGGAAAAGAGAATTCTGGAGAGAGGCAGCTGCCTTGGCATCAGTTTGAGACCCTGCTGTTGTGGACAGACTTGGCAGAAATGAGAAACCCTTTTCCTTGTTTCCTTGGGTCTTCAGGTCGAAAGGGGAATTTTTAAGAAATAGCACGACATGCTGAGAGCAAAATGTTTTATGATGTGGGGAATTCTGACTCTGTGTTTGGGTTTTAGGTCCGTACTCCATTGATCTTTTTAACTGTTTTTCACGGAGCGGTTGTGGTTGGCAGCTTTCGTTTGGAATGAGCAGCCTGGTTTCATAAATCTCTATCCATCTGAGTCTTGTGTCTTTCACTCCTTAATATTTTCCCTGCTAACATCATTCCTAACATTTTAGACCTTGGACTATACCTCTTGGCTTTTCCCTGGAAGTTCCCTTCATTGGTTCTTTAGTTGGTTTATGATGGAGTTTTGGATGTGACCTTCCTGCACAGATGTCTGTGTATTGGAACTAAAATGAACACATGGTTTTTGTGCCTGTAGCACATGAACAGACACTGGCTTATGACGTGTTGAAAATGGCACAGGCTGGCTGACTTGGCACTGTGCTTTAGCAGGGGCAGAGGTAAATTGTGGCTGTGAAGCCTGATATCTGGACATTCTTGTTTGGAAGTTACTTTTGAAAAGAACATGTGTAAGTCTTTGGACATTAGTAGAGGAGATTAATGGACAAGAAAGGGAGGGCATTACTATTTCATTGTTTATATTTTAGGTTTCCAGGAATTTGAAAACTGGCCAATGGTTATATGAGTGTGTTGTCAGCCTATCTAGTCTGACGCTGTTAACGTTTATCCCACAGATCTGTTGCCATACAATTAGCAATTTGCAAAGTGGAAACGGACAGTGGCATTCTGTCTCTTTGTTACGGAAGCACAAGCGATGTACAGCTGACACAAAGGACTGCTTAGTCTCAGTGAAGACCTTTGCCTGAGGTCTTCTGCCACCCCTATCCTGTTCTGCCACCTGAGGCAAGCCTACTGAGTCCTACTCCACACCGCCCCCCGCCCCAGTCTTTCTGCTTATTAGCTTTTACACAGCTTACTAAGATGCACGTGGCCCACTGGCAAACTTACAGTGGCTTAATTTTGCACCCCAATGCTCATCAAGGTGATCTGAGGAGGAATAAAATAAACGGGAATGACCTGGCTGGTGTGGGTTGGTGGATTGAGTGCCGGCCTGCAAACCAAAATAAATGGGAATGTGGTATAGAAAGATTAGTTAAAAATGTTGTTCATATTTTTTGTGATGCTCTCCAGAAAACAGCACTGCCAGCTTAGGATGGGGCTTTTGTCATTTTAAATGTTTCACATATACGAAAGGATGTGTGTATAGTGTGTGCAATATAATAATCAAATTCATACCCAGGTACACATCTCTGAGCTTAGCAAATAGAATGTTATCAGTTACCTTTGAAGACCCCTGTGTGTTGCTTCCTGATTACATCTCCACAGCTACCATAACCACCTTCCTCAATTTTATGTTAATCATTCCCTTGTTTTGTTTTTTTATAGTCGGCTAGATTGGTCTTTTCAAGTGACTGCCATTAGAATGCTCTCAGGATCCTTGAGACAGAAACTGCTTTGGATTTTCAGTTAGCATCTCCCTGAAGAGAGAAGGAAGCTCTCATTTACTATTAGCCTTTCAGCCTCTTAGACCTCTGCCTCTCCAAGCTTCCTGCTCGGAGGCTCCCCTATTTGCCAGGGGAAAAAAATCCCAGGGCTCTTAAATGGTTCTGCCTGGATTTAGATTCATATGTATTTCTTTTTCCAGATCTAGAAACTATGATTTTCTTCTTCAGAATGCTGGGAGCGGGGGAGAAGATGAGGTGGTGTGAGAAGGCCTCTGCAAGCTGTGTGCTTTTGGGTACTGCCGTTCTTCAGTGCTTGGCACCGAAGAGATTTGTCCCCAGCATGGGCAGATGGCAGAGTAATGCAGCTTCCTTTGAAAAGAGGCAAACGGCCAAGTGGCTGAGGTGTGAACCCTGTGGAAGGCCAGTGCTTTAGGTTTCTCCTTGCTGAGTTTAATGTTGTACCCACAGTTATCAAATAAAAATCAGTTTGGAAGTTCTTCAGTCTTAAAGTTCATGTCCAGGTGAATTAACTTTCCACTTCAGCCCACTGGAGTGTTGGGACTAAGTGGCAGACTGTCAGGGGCAACATTTATAAGCAGAGGGACCGTGTGCGCTTGTACCCTGTTCCGAGGCAGTCGCCTCCCCCTGGGCGCCACCCGTAAGCTTCTTCTGTCTCGGTGCGCAGGGGGTTGCGGAGGGAGGGAGAGTGGGGTCCGGAGAGGGGATCCAGCATCTCGGCTGTTTCTCAGATCTTTACGTAATGGTTTTGAAATTTTGTTTGAAGTGAGTTCTGAGAATCTCAGATATCTGTGTTAAACATACATGCATAAAGATCTTTCAAAATCAGATAATTCTAAACAAGATTTTCTTTGCTTCCCTCCTCCCCCTCCGTTGGTGCCGTCGAAGTTTCACTTAGTCCTTTGGGCGAGAGTAATTTTGGAAGGTGAGCCAGCTACAAGGCCCAGAATCAGGCCCTCAAATCGGCGGTGGGAGTTTTTTAAAAGTCTCGTTTATTGGGCTATGATTTATAAACCGCCTAAAATTCACGTTTTTAAGGTGCCCAGGTCTATAAACTTTGATAAATATATATATATAATCATCATGACCTCTGCCACAATCGAGATAATAGCCCATTTCCACCACCTCCGCACGTCTTTCCCTTGTAGTCAGTCATCTCGAGATGAAATTTTTGAGCTTAGCACATTTTTAGCCTGAAAGTCTTTGTCACAGTCTTTAGATTTCTTTTATTTCTCTCTGTAAACACATTTGAAATTGGTACATAGCAAAGTTGCCTTTTGTTTGTCTTTTCCCAGGAAAGCCTTGTGTGGGTTTTTTAGCTAGCTCCCTGGAGCAGCATCAAGAAGTCATGGGGAGAGCTCTGTGACTGGCAGGGCAGCGAGGGGAACGGGCCATCTTCTTTGGGTGCCAGGCACAGCCCCTAACCTGAGTAGGCACCTTGTTAGCTGATGGTTTTCACCCTTGGCTTGGGGACGTTAATGCGGAAATCAGAGGTCTTAGTGGTTGGAAATTACATGTGCATCCTGCAGGGCTGGTCTCACGTCCAGATACGCTCCCTGGTTCTCCTTGGGACGTCCTGTTCCTAGGGGCAGGCCCAGAGGGAAAGCTGTTGCTCCGACCTGCCACCTGGCCAGGTCAGAGCCTTTCTCTTAGCTCCCATATGAAAATCAGCTGTGCCTCTGACTTCCTCTAGAAATGGACTTGCTAATTACCACTCAAGGTGTTGTACCTTTTCACACACTAGGTGTGGAGAGAGCCAAAGAGATTTCTCATTGCTTTGCAGACTGGTGAATTCTGTAGCCAAATGTATTTAAGGAATTGCCTTAATTATTTTATTCTTCCTCCTTACATTTTAGGTTTTATTACAAAAGTGTTGCTGACAATGCCTAGGGTTTGCTTTGTTTTTCAGTGCATCTGGAATCGAGTATTGTAGCGATTTAAATGCATCCCTCTCCCCCCTTATTCTGTGTGCTTTCTCACCCCCTAGGAAACCCAGGTTGACAAGAACTCAAAGTGCCTTTTCTCCGGTCTCCTTCAGCCCCCTGTTCACAGGTAAGGGTGATCTCTTTCTTCTGACATCTAAAAGCAGGAGTGTTCTGAGACCTGTCAGGAACCACTTACAGATGCACCTCAGAGGGAGCTTCAGGCATGTCTGCAGTTATTTTCTTCATTCCATGCCTGTTGGGTTTGGGGTGAGGCTATTTTTCTGGTGTGGAATGTGTTCTTGACTTCGGATGCTTTATAGTTTTGATTAGTGGCTGCTTGTGGGTAATTAGATGGCCCTGGCAGTTATGCAGTGCTCAGTTCAGGGTCATCACAGATAAATTAAAAGGAGGAGTTACAAATTTATAGGCTTGCAGTGCATAGAGGAATCTCTAGAAGACGTACAATTCCTGTCCCTGCCTCCAAGGGAGTCCATGGACTATCTAATAAACATGACGCAGGGGTATCTGGTCTATTTTTAAAGACTTGGGTGAAGGGGATTACGTGGACTCTTGTCTTGCCCACTTTAAGGGCCAGCAGTTCTTGCAGCTGTTTGAGTTCTTCATTATATCTAATTTCAGTCTCTCTTGCAGCAAGGAGGAACACAGGTTGCTAAAGTAGGAAAGCGGCTGAGTGTCCTTTGGGCAACTGCCTTCTCTTTAATGAGGAGCCCTTCTGGAGAGGGAGACCTTGGGTTATGTCAGCCAGACACGAAGCCCCCTTTTGAACGAGCTGTGGGTTGTCAGCACACTGCCTCAGGTCTCAGAAACGGGGTGCTCTCTGGTCGTGGCTGAGAAGCCTTTAAAAAAATCCCAATTTCAAACTTTTGGTATCGTGTCCCTCAAAAAGATGATTGCAAGAATTATGATTAGGGAATAGACATTTCCAGGAGATGCTGAGTGGGCTAGTCAGACCCCCCCATCACTGCACAGATGGCCCTGAGCTGCCCAGACAAGTGAGTTAGTGCCTGTGGTAGGTGCAGGTGGAGAAGCCGGTCTCTGTTCTTAGCCCAAGCCCAGAATGAAAGAAGCTTATCCTTTAGCAATGCATCCTTCTAGTTAACAGTTGTTTCCTTTCTAAAGTAAGAGGCACCCACGTTTGTAGTCTTAGGCTTGGTGGTGGTGTTTCAGACACCTTTAGCGCTTGGGAATTACGTATTTTTGGTGAGGCGCTACCCCTGCAGCCTGGACCTCTCTGACCCTTCAGGAGGCACACACTGCCCTGGTCTGGGCGGCCGGCCTCTCAGCTACACTGTGTGATGAGTCCAGCACGTGCCGCTTCCTAGAACTGCCACAGATGACTTTTAGAAGAGCTTTTCTGCTTATCTTAATGAGTGTTCAAGAACTTTGTTAAGGAAAAAAAAAAGTGTATTAGATTCTGAAAGCCCAGCTCCTGACCTTTTAGAGGCATTGGTTTCTATTTCTAATAATAAAAATCTAGCTGAAGGGCTCATTCAGCCTTTTGAATAAGAAAAGGTGTTGGAAATAACACCCTCAAATTAGAGAAATTCTGTGGATCAGACCTACCAAAACAAATTTATTTTAGACTGTCAACTTTAATGAATAAAATACCCTTCATCCTCCCGTGACTCAATGGAGAGAGCGTAGACAGGGCTGGGTGGCAAAGACGGAACGTATGTGGCAGAGAACAGAACCGTGTGATGTGCTGGGAAGTAAAGGGAAACCACGAACCATGTGCCATTTCCCTCCCCTCCCCCATCAGGCCATCAAGTTCCTACTGAGACACTTCCTCTAAGCTTACCCGAGTTGGCTGACTGTGGAAGTAGTTAATTTTTAGGGTTGTAAATGCACTTTTCAACCTTTGTAGCCTTAGCTATTAGGAACAAGTTGATATCTGAAATAGGTTTTCTTGTGAGTGAATATTCTGAAAACTCTAGACATGGAAAGCCATGTAGGAGGAAGTTGGGGCTAACATTGGGACCTTTTATTTGCATTCAGTGTACCATGCAGTTCTTATATTTTTCTGGCACTTCTTTTTTTCTCCGGTGTCCATTTGGGCTTGTAATAAGCTGCTTGTCTTGCCCCCTAAGGCAGAAATTGGTGTACAAGTCTGAAAAGCAAATGGTGTGGTTTCCATTTCAATAAAGAAGACCCCTTGGTCAAGGTTATGTTGTCAGTGGCAAAAAACCCCCACAATTAGTTGATTTTACCACTGTCAAGCTCATGTTTTTGTCCTAAAGAATCCTTGACCATTAACAGGGCAAAGAAATGGTAGAATTTAAAATTGACTTCCCAGGTGTTTGGGGCTGATTCCAGTGCTGGGAGGATTAGATTTTGAGCTTTTCGAGAGCCCTGGACCCCTGGCTTCCCTTGCTTGCCCTTTGCTTCTCTTTGCTCTGGCCTCAGCTTTGGGCAGGGTGCTCTATAACATGCTTGCTCCGTGAACCCCTCAGGTGAAACAGTGTCGCTTGTGGATGTGGACATCTCTCAGCGGGGCCTGACCTCTCCACACCCTCCAACTCCCCCTCCTCCTCCAAGAAGAAGCCTCAGCCTCCTAGGTATAGCCTCCTCCACTCTCCGCCTTGTTGCCCTAGTGGGTGGGGGAACTCTACTGACGTGTTCGCTGCTAGGAGCCAGACAAGCTCCTGGGTTCCTAATGATGAACCTAGTATTTCCTGTCCCTTTCTCAGCACCCCTATCGTCTCCCAGTGTGGTTAGACAGGTCTCTTACCTGCATGCTATTACAGCCTTTACTATCCTTGTGTTGATTAGGATTAGATCTGTATTTATCTTGCCCTGAATCTACAGCGAGAGGGCTGCTTTAGGAGTATCTTTACTCTCCTGCTTTCAAGCAGAGGAGAGCAGATGAAGACGATTGTTGCCCTCTGTGCACAAAGCTGGGGTGAGGGTCAGGCCATCTTGCCCCAGAGGGCAGCCTGGTGCTCCTTCTCCCTCTCCTCTGCTTCCCCTTGCTCATTCTGTGCTCCTATTTCTGAACCTCTTGCTTTTGTTCTCTCTTCTAGATGATATCAGTGGGACGCTGCCTACATCTGTCCTTGTGGCTCCGATGGGGTCCTCCCTGCAGTCTTTTCCCCTACCTCCGCCTCCTCCGCCCCATGCCCCAGGTTAGCTTAGCTTAGAGGCAAGACTTGCAAGAGTTGGGAGTACAAAGCAGTAAACTTTTGAAGGATGGGAGAAATCTATTTATGGAAATAACAGAACTTACTAGAAAGCTTAAATTTTATCCCCTTGGCTAGACCAGAACTCCTTGGAAATGAGGCCAAGAACTGATTTTTCTAACCTGTTTTATTTATGGAGTTGAATCTGATTTTTTGTTAGAAATAAAAGACTGTTGAATTTTTTCGCCTTTTTGCTGCTGAGACTTTTTTTTTAATCCTTGAGTAGATGTCACTGAGGAAACTGCCTTAATTTCAGAGTAGTGAGGAGGTTTAATATGTTGCTGGTTTTCAAAGTTTTGTGGTTTTTTTAAACTTGTAGTAATGACTGCAGCCTTGTAAATAAGTACCAAGCATTTGGTAGCCCATACCTGCTTTGCCAGCCTCCAGTACCCAAGGAATAAAATGAATGAAATCAGCATTCTTTTCTACTTGCCTGGCAAAATCGTTACACTTCCTGGGCGAGTAAGCGAGTCACTATTTCCAAGGCTGCTTTACCGGCACTTCACCTCGAGGTGGGAGAAGTTGGAATCGCTCTAGGCTGGTGAAGGCCCTGAAGTAGTCACCTTAGTCAGGTTAGTGAGCAGCTCCCCACCCCCTTCCTGGGGTTCAGTGCCCCCACCCATCCTTCACAGCTTACACAAGCCCACACAGCTTTTTGTTCCAGCCCATCCAGCTTTTCCCCACTGCTTTGGCTTCACCCTTTCCAGCTTAGCTTCAATGCCTTGCCCCTCTTCAGTTAGCATCTCTGTTTTGGGGGGAGGGGTACTTACGGTTGGGAGCATTGAGGGTAAACGAGTGACCACCACACTGTTGCTCTGCAGATGCATTTCCCCGGATTGCTCCCATCCGAGCAGCCGAATCCCTGCACAGCCAGCCCCCGCAGCACCTCCAGTGTCCCCTCTACCGGTCTGACTCGAGCAGCTTTGCAGCCAGCCTTCGGGAGTTAGAGAAGGTAGGTGGCGCCTGAGCCCTGGAGGCTCGCCTTCTCCCCACTCCCCAATTGTGCACCTGGCTCCCCTTTTATTACTCTTAGAGGAAGAATGGTTTCTTTGTCTTTGTATTTATAACAACAAAATAATATGCTACTGTTATCAGTTCCATAAATGATGTTATAAAATTGAATCTTGGAGGAGAAAAATTGAACATGATAAGGAAAAGCTATGGAGAAATGTTTACGTAGTCTGATTGTGGCAGATTAACTGACCCGGGTCCCTCTTCTCTTCTTCATAGAGCCTTGGTAATGGAACTGTAGAATTATTCTTCTGTTACTTTGGAGGGCTAGAAGTATAATGAACCTGATGTTTATTGCTGGCGGTTAAGGCATTCTGACAGCTTTTCCCTACTGAAATGTTTTTGGAAGTGAGGGGTTCTCCTGTGGTAAGAAGGACTGTGTTGAACACTTCGACATGTCTCTGTTCTGTTAACCACTTGACCACTTTTTATCTTGGATAGTGCGGTTGGTATTGGGGACCAATGAATTGGGAAGATGCAGAGATGAAGCTGAAAGGGAAGCCAGATGGCTCTTTCCTGGTACGAGACAGCTCTGATCCTCGTTATATCCTGAGCCTCAGTTTTCGATCACAGGGTATCACCCACCACACGAGAATGGAGCACTACAGAGGTAAGAGGTGCAGGTGTTGGAAGGAAGCCTTTTTCTATCTTTGCTATTTGACTATTTTGTAGGAAGAAATCATAGAAATGGAATTGTGCATAGGGGAAAAAATCTCATAGACTCAATTGAATGCTATTGTGGGCACTGGTTTCAGTCCCTAGAAGAAAAGTTGGCAGGGGTGGGGGAGAGAGTAAGAGTTCCATTTAAAAGTTATTCTCAGCATCTTATTTCCTAAATAGGAGGGCCTGAAAAAGACTGTTGAAGAACAGAACAAAGCCAGTAAAACTCTCTTTATAGAAGGAAGAAATAACCTAGACAAATTCTCCCAGGCTTTATTCATAATTGGCATCTAAAGATACTTTCTATTAAATCATATATATGAAGAGGAGAATTTAGTGTTGATTCTGGACTGCTCTGTTCTGAATTTCTTTGCGGATAGTCACATCAGCTTTTCTGCCAGTCAGCATGGTGATGGTAATTCCTCTCTTGGCCAGCTTCGTAGTCTCTTAGGAAATAGTCATTAGAACTCCGGGAGTTTTGGGGGTCAGCATGCTTTAGACCGCCTGCCGCCTGCCAGGTGGTACCCCCTCCTCTGCTGTCGGGATTGGCTTCGCAGCAGGGCGTCCTGTGCTTGACTTGGGCCAGAACCTTGTGACGGTCATTGGTGGTAGGGCTGGACAGTGTATCATTTGTTGAAGTACCTGCATATGCTATACATTTTAGAAGTGTAGAGAACTTTGGGGAGTTTGGGGACTTGCCCCTCCCATCCTTTATATTCTTCTCACATGTGATCACCTTCAGTGCGCTGTGTTAGACATTCGTCTCAAATGAGAGTCTCTTCCATGCTCTCCTGAGGCACCACCATGTCTTTCTTGCTCTCAGCCGTGTTCTGCTGGATTTACTTGGTTCGCTTCTCTTGTGAGGCAGGGAGTAGCTGTTAAGGCCGGTATAGCTTTGTCCATGGTTTCTTCCACCCCCTCCTCTGCCCTCGAGATGCATGAAGAGAAAGGAACTTCAGTCCAAAGACCTGAGGGTCAGCTAGATAACTGTAGAGTAGACTGCTGCCTATTTTCCTGCTGTTCCTAAAAGCAACAATCAAACAAACAAAAAAATGGAAAACAAAGCATTTCAGAGTGAAGTATTTTTATAAACCTATTAAAATGATAAATGACTAGGCAACGGGAATGATGAATAAATGCTTGACCTCTAGGTTCCTGATAGGTGAGATGCCAGGAATGAGAGCGAGCTTTCAAATGGTTCTCCAGTTACTTTTTGTTCAAAGGGACTTTTCTTCCTTGAATAAGTGGAATTTTTAATAGAAGCCTTGTGGGCCTTTCAGTTGCCGGTTTGCAATGGAGCGTTTGTCTTCGTCTTTTTAAGTGATACTGTAAGAGTAGCTAGAGACTCAGACCTGCAGTTCTCTTGAGTGATTTAGTATCCCCTTTGCGGGTGATTCTTTTGGATTAAGAGCTTTAGTTTGGGGAGTTTTTTGTTGTTTTTTGAAGTCATGGGAGTTCAGATTCCCTTTTACCTTTGGGATTCTGCAGTTTGGGGTGTGATCTTTGTAACATGTTGGGGTGTGGAATTTTAGAAGTTAAAGAAAAGACTTAGAATTTTTTGTGCCCAACATATACATGAATGGGTAATAACCACAAAACTACACTTCTTTCTTGTCTTTCTTCGACTGTTCCATGAATACTTGAAGACTTAGATCTTCTTGAGGGGAATGTCCTTCAAACTTGCTTTGCTATGGCAGTCTTTTTTTTTTTTTTTTTTTTTAACCTTTTTCAGTTATGGTTGACATTCAATATTAGTTTCAGGTGGATAGTATAGTGACCACACGTTTATATAACTTACAAAGCGATTCCCTGCGATAAGTCTGGCACCCACCTGACACCATACATAGTATTACAATATTTTTTTACTGTATTCTCTGTAGTGTACTACATCCCTGTGGCTATTTTGTTAACTACCAGTTTGTACTTCTTAATCCCTTTACCTTTTACACCCAGCCTCCCAACGCCCCTCCCCTCTGGCAACCATCAGTCTGCTCTGTGTGTCTATGAGTATGTTTCTGTTTTGTTTATTTTGTTCTTCAGGTTCCACTTAAAAGTAAAATCATATGGTATTTGTCTTTCTTTGTCTGACTTACTTCACTTTGCATAATACCTTCTCAGTCCACCTGCACTGTCCCAAGTGGGAAGGTTTCATTCTTTCTGGCCGAGGAACATTCCGTTGTATGTGTGCGCCACAGCGCTTTCATTCACTCAGCTGTTGATGGACACTTGGGTTGCTTCCGTATCTTAGCTATTGTACGTAACACTGCAGTGAACATAAAGGGTGTAAATATCCTTTCAGACTAGTGTTTTTGGGTTTTTAGGATATATATCCAGAAGTGGAATCACTGGGTCATAGAGCAGTTCTATTTTTAATTTTCTGAAGAGCCTTCGTACTGTTTTCCGTGGTGGCTGCACCAGTCTGTATTTCCACCAGCAGTGCGCAAGGGCGCTCTTTCCCCCCACGTCTTCGCCCACACATGTTTGTTGACTTACTGACAATAGCCATTGTGACAGGTATGAAATGATATCTCAATGTGCTTTTAATTTGCCTTTCTCTGATGATTAAGTATGTTGAGCATCTTTTAAAAAAAATGTTTATTTATTTTTAGAAAGAGGGGAAGGGGGGGGAGAAAGAGAGAAACAATGTGTGATTGCCTCTCACTTACCCCCTCCTGGCGACCTGGCGTGCAACCCAGGCATGTGCCCTGACTGGGAATCGAACCAGTGACCCTTTGGTTTGCAGGCTGGCACTCAATCCACTGAGCCACACCAGCCAGTGTGAGCATATTTATATATGTCTTTTGCGCCATCTATATATCCTCTTTGGAGAAGTGTCTATTCAGGTCCTCTGCCCCTTTTTAATTGGATTGTTTGATTTTTTGGTATTGAGGTATATGAGTTCTTTATCAGTTTTGGATATTAATCCCTCATCAGATGTATCATTGGTGGATATCTTCTCCCATTCAGTGGGTTGTCTTTTCATTTTGTTGATGGTTTCCTTTGCTGTGCCAACCCTTTTTAGTTTGAGGTAGTCCCATTTGTTTTTACTTCTGTTTTCCTTGCTGGAAGAGATATATCAGAAAATATATTGCTAAAAGAAATTCGACAGAGTATTTTTATATCTTTTTTCTGACTTGCATTTATTATTTACCTTAACAAAAGCCTTGTAAAAGCTAATTTATGTCTTATCAAAAGCAATAGCTTTCTTTTCACTAATTATAGAATAAGCAGGAGCAGGTGAAACAGGTGGCTTCAGGGACCTTTGTCTGACTCAGCTTGCTCATGAAATCTTGTTCTCCGAAGAGTGAGAATCATAAAAATGAGTGATAATCATACAAATGTGCAAATCAGCCTCCCAGATCTTTTAAAAATGTTTTACATTTTTACCTCTTCTTGATTTTCTGTGGCAGGAACCTTCAGCCTGTGGTGCCATCCCAAGTTTGAGGACCGCTGTCAGTCAGTGGTGGAGTTCATTAAGAGGGCCATCATGCACTCCAAGAATGGGAAGTTTCTCTATTTCTTGAGATCCAGGGTTCCAGGTAAGGCTGTAGTTATTGTAAAATTATTTAACTTACTTGGGTATGGTCCAGTATACTATCAAAATGCATCCCCTCCTGCTCCCTAAAAAAGAAAAAAAGGGCCACACTTATGTAAAGCTTTTTATCCAGGCTTTTATAGCAGTGACTCTTTCTAGATCCAATGGTTAATCCCTTACCCTTGTACATTAATCCCTCAACATATTGAGAAGGAATCTTCGCTTCTCTTACCACATGAATGAGAAAACTGATCCTTCCTCTGATGTCCAGGCATCATATGAATATTTTTCACCCAGAGATGTCTCCTTGTCCCCAATCCAGGCATCTTAACACTTATCTGTGAAACCGAAGTGAGAGCAATTGGGTCATTTTCACAGGACCAGGGAAGGTAAAAAGAGCGTTCCCTAGAAGGGCGATGGCGAGGCTCAAGGAAGCTGAATTCACTGGCAGTCTGCTCTAGATTTTGTCCGTGTCTTACTAAATCTTTTGTTAAAGAGTAGATTGCATCCCTACCGGTGTTGAACGCAAAAGCTTCTCTCCACTTGGGAGCGCTGGGAAGTCCCCATCCTGGCTGGTGTGGTTATATAGACTTCCTGCCCTGAGCAGGATATGATAGCTGTTGAAGGGGGGATGGGGTGGTTTGGAGAAATCTGCTTTAAAGTGTTGGGAAAAGTAAAATGAAAAGCCCGTTAATTGAGACGTTTATAAGATACAAACAGAACTTAAAATGAGAACGTCATGCTTTTTCATCGAATCAAATTAATGTTTTTAAACAGTGCCAAGAAATTGCTCTAAGAAGAAGTAGGGGGCCTCAGGCAAGAACATCAGTAACAGGATTGAGCCAGGTTACAGGAACGTGTTTCATAATCTTGGTGATTTAAATAAGGCTTGACAGGGTGCGAACTGTATTAATTCTCACTTCATTTAGTATTTCCCTCAGTGCTGTCAGCACAGTTGGGTCTAATGCAGTTGACTTGGTTAGAGGGAAAAGTTAGAATTCCTTTCTTACAGAAATGGACTCCGCTTAGCAATTTTTAAAGTTTGTAGCTTTTGGGGGGTATTTATTTAACAAACATTTATTTTGTATCTCAGTATTGAAAATACACCACATTTCTGCCTTCAGAAAGGTCATAGGCTCAAAGAGGGGACAGGTAGGAAGATAAAGGTAATAGCACAGGTTAAATTCAACGCAAGGCACGGCAGTGACCGATCAACGCGGGCAGGCTAATGACCTGTGTGAGCGAGCCAGGGAGACCCTCTCAAAGGGTCCTGGAGTCCGGAGCATACATCTCCTTGCAGAGCAGTCATTCGTAGAATCATGGACTCCTCAAGCATAGTTCATTTCATTATGCAAATGTGCCCTGCCTGCAGAAATTTTAACTAGGATTTTTAACATTGTTAATGGCTAGAGATTGTAATAATTGCTACTGTTTATTGAGTGCCTACCATGTGCCAGGTACTTTGTCAGGTTCTTTATTTACATCTAAGTTCTTTGGCTAATACGTTGGTCCGTTATTTATCGAGAAGACTGTTTTCATATGGCCCGTGAGTAAACTGAGGCTGAGGCGCAATAGTAGAATTACTCCCAAGGTCCCTTAGCTGATCAGTGCTGAAGCCAGGATTCAGGCCCAGGCCCAGCTGACTCCAAAGCCTATTTTTTGTTTACTGCTACTCTGTCAGGAGAAGAAGTAGCAGGAAGCACATGGAAGTGCCAGGATTTGTGGAGACTATACAAGGAGACAGAATTGTGTTTGTTAGTGGGCGGTGTTTTTCTACTTAGAATGCTGCAAGTAGGATATCTATTTGCATTTAAAAGTGTAATCAAGTTTAGAAGGCAAGACAGTTAGTATTTGCCCCTAGGCCCTAAGTGACCTCTCTTCAATGAATGGGACAAAGAAGGCAAAGCCAGTGTTCTCCTTTACCATTGCTGGCTGCCCTCCTCTGCTGGTCCGACAGGTCTATGCGTTCCTTGAGGCTGCCTTGTTAGGGCAGGAGTCAGTGTGAGGAGAGGGAGTCATAGTGTCTAGGTTGAGCTCTGTCACCCTGCAGTGGGGATTTAACTGAGTAGGTTTGAAGAGGAGACTCTTTGTTCAGGCTTGGATGATGCTGGCCCACAAGGGGCCAGGCATTATTTCGTTTAACACTTACAAAATCCTTTGAAAGCATATGACAGTCTCTCTTTTTTAACAAATTGGGAAACTGAGATACAGTTTGGTGCGAAGCTAGGAGTCAAAGTCAGGTTTTTACTGGCTCAAATCTAGAGTTGGATACACTAGCAGGGCATCCACACTCGTGTTAAAGGGGTACTAGGGATGATAGGAATCATAAAGCTGTGCCTACTGGGAAAGTTCTGGATGGTGGTGCATGAGGAGCAGAAGGAATTAATTAGGATAAAAGGAATAATTAGCATCTGGGGGAGGAACCCTTGGTTAAAATGATGGCACCTGTACCTGGTTTCCCCTTACCTCCTGTTATTGTAGTACTGGAATACGGTCACAACAAATTTGAGGTCACTGATTACGTCTCATTCTGGTCCATTTCACAGTCATAAACTGTGACCTAAGTCTCTAACACCAGGCAGCGGTCCCCAAAAGAGAACGTGATTGGCTTAGCACATTAGTGACTGTGTCCTTAGTTGGGAGAATCTTTATCATTTGTGAAGTTCATGGACATAAAATACTCTTTGTCTTTTAATCACACTTAGAATTCACTCAGAGGAGATCAGTCGCCTCCATTTTTGTCACCATTATTGAGCTTATGCTTGTTCGTTCAGTGATACATATGTCTTCCCTGTACCCCAGCGTTTCTCAGTTGATCACCTTTGACATTTTGGGCTAGATAATTCTGGTCTTCGGGGAACAGCTGGTAAGGCAGAAAGACCTGGGAGAGATTTGTCACCCCTAACCTGGTCCATGTTGGGGGAGGAAAAATTAATGAAGTAGCTGGTAACTGGATTTGTGCTCAGCACCCCTGGCATGAGGACCTGAGAAAGGCTCCTGAGGATCACTGGTCACCCCGCCCTTTCCCTTTTAGCTGCACTGGTGTCTTGTCTTGGCTTTATTTCCATTTTAACCCCTTCTGTTAACAAGCTCTGGGTGGAGAGCTATCGTCATTTGCTGTGTTTGGGGGCAAGCAGCAAATGCTCAGGTTGACACCAGGGAGTATCAGAGAATTAACAGGTTTCAAATTGCTATTTGTGAACCTGAGGCTGAAAGTTAACGCACTAAAATAGGAAAGAATACATAGTCATTAAAACTTAGGTTGGTGAACAGTCAGATAAGTGTATGCTGCTTATTCTGATCTCTTTAGGAACAAGTCCTGTGGTCTGCATGTTTGAGAATAAATAGATATATAAATTACTCTAATCTCTGAAGCATCATGTTGAATTTAGCAATATTACAACTGATCCCCAAAAGCTTTCTGTTGGCCATAGGTTAACTTACTAAAGAATATGTTTTAAAACATATCGCCCTGGCTGGTGTGGCTCAGTGGATTGAGTGCCAGCCTGCGAACCAACAAGCTGCTAGTTTGATTCCCAGTCGGGGCACACGCCTGGGTTGCTGCCAGATCCCCAGTGGGAGCGCACGAGAGGCAACCACACATCGATGTTTCTCTCCCTCTCTTTCTCCTTCCCTTCCCCTCTCTCTAAAAGTAAATAAATAAAATCTTAAAAAAAAAATATGGGAGCAAGGGTAAATTCAAAGAGGCATTTGAACCCAAAATCATTTTTAAAACCACTTGAGTTTAAATATGCTTAAGAGAGAAATCCCTGTGTGAATTCTTCCTTTAAATGGTGTGTGAGGAGAGGGCCGATCACATGCGGACAGTGGGCTGCAGGGCTTCAGAGCCAAAGCTTAGGCCCGAAGGGGTAGGAGCGAGAGGGAGAGGACTGGAGGGCAGGGGAGGCTGTCATGAGTCGAGGTGAGTGTCCTGGAGAAGACCCCTCCCTGAGGGGTTCCCCAGGCCACCCTCTTCCTCAGACAGCAAGTGTTCAAGGCAGGGCAGCTTTGTTGGTTCTGTGCTGTGAGCAAGTCCTCTAAGCCAAATAGGCCTCAGTTCCTTCATATGTGAAATGGAGGATAATAATGATAATGATATTTGTCTCAAAGGTATAGTTTTGAAGACTATATGAATGAAATGTTTTTAAGATAAATCCGCTTGCTTAGTAGTGGTATGATATGTTTGTTTTTGTTTTTGTTTTTGTTTTAAGAAACTCATTTGTCAATGACCATGAAAAGGCTTTGGGAGGCAGTCTGCAAGTTCTAACTTTTTCTTCTCATGCCTCGAAACAATTTCAAAACTTTGAAATTAAACTTCAAAAATAGTGCATATTTTATTTTTCAACAAACTGTGTCTACAGAATTTCTTTTGCTAGGACAGTGGCTGAGAAAAAAATGTTTTCAAAGATTTTACAACTCAGATTCTTTCTGAGAGCAGTTTGCCTATTTACTTTCCATAGCCCCTTTGTGTGGTGAAACCAGGATACTCTTTGTTCCTTGGAACCTGTGTCAGTGTCCCTGCATTCTGCGGGGGTTGGCATTTCCCAGCACAGAGCCCTCCTCTGATACTGACGAACCGTGAGGCTGCGGGGCCCGCATCGGGCCAGCTGGCGGCGGTCTGCAGGCACCTCTGCACAGAGCGGCACTAATTCTGGCTTGCCCAAGCTACTGTAGTTGCTTTGCTTTTAATAGCATCATCCTCTTTTTTCTGTCCCCGTACTCCATCTAAAATTTCAGAAGCAAGAAGGGTGGCTGGGGGTAAGAAACAAGAAGTAACTACACCTGATTGTCCTGGCTTGAAGTAAATGACAGGAGTGGTAGGCAAACTTTGATCCCAGCTGTTGCCTTCTGCTTACCAGGCCTCCCAGTTGGCATTTGGTGGGAACCCCTCTGAACAGCCTTTCCGAGTCCCCACCTGCAGGATACTGCTACAAGTGCTGAACAAGTATCCCCATTCTCAGCAGGCACGCCTTCTCTTCTTACCTTTCCCTGAGAGCCTCAGGCCTGGGATTGGCCTGGGCCTTGGCTTCCAGGAAAGTCTGCAGCCTGGCATTTTCCTTTGGACTGTTCTGAATAGCAAGATTCTCAGATGTTAAGGGTGATGCTAGGCCCCGACCGATGTGGCTCAGTGGATTGGGCATCCTCCCGCAAACTGACGATGTTGCCTGTTCGATTCCCAGTCAGGATGCATGCCTAGGTTGCAGGCCTTGCTGCAGGCCAGGTCCCTGGCTGGGGGTGGGGTGTGCAGGAAGGTGGCAGCCAATTGATGTTTCTCTCACACATCGATGTTTCTCTCCCTCTTTCTTCCTCCTTTCCCCTCTTTCTTAAAAAAAAAAAAAAAGAGAGAGTGATGCCAGGAGACCCTTGGCTGGGAGGAAGAGATTCTCCTGAGTGAAATTTGGTGGCGTGTCTGCAAATGGAGATCAGCAGTCCTTTGGGGAAGGAAGCTTTTACACAGAACACACTGATGAACTGTGAAGAAGCCCATTTCCTTCCTCTGGACTCTCTCTATAAGGGAAATTGTAGTAAGCTACATTGTTCCCTCTGAATGTTTCTCTTGGTTTTCATTCTTGAAGGACTACCACCAACTCCAGTCCAGCTGCTCTATCCAGTGTCCCGATTCAGCAATGTCAAATCCCTCCAGCACCTTTGCAGGTTCCGAATCCGACAGCTCGTCCGGATAGATCACATCCCAGATCTCCCACTGCCTAAGTATGATGCGGTCTTCAAGGTTGGGGCAGGAAGGAGGAGGGTTAGTTACAGATGTCAGCGAGCCTGGCAGTATTCACAGGCAGCCTCCTTTCACTTCTGTGTCTTGGCGCCTAACTCTAGAACTGTCACATGGCAGCCAGAAGGGAAGGGGGAGGGGTGTGTGTGTGTGTGTGTGTGTGTGTGTGTGTGTGTACACACACACCTCTCTTCTGCAGTCTCTGAAGGGTGGAGGGAAGGAGACAGACTGTAATAAGTGAGAAAATGGGGATTTTGTTCGGGGAGCAGAGGCTTTGTTGTAGTCTCAACCATACAGGAATGGAGAAGAAGGACGTTGAACAAAGGTCCGTCTTTTATAATCTGTGTAAATTGACACATTGGGTGTATCCCTCTTGTGTTTTTTACAGACCTCTGATCTCTTATATTCGAAAGTTCTACTACTATGATCCTCAGGAAGAGGTGTACCTGTCTCTAAAGGAAGCGCAGCTCATTTCCAAACAGAAGCAAGAGGTGGAACCGTCTACGTAGCGAGGGGCCCCTGCTGGTCACCACCCAGGGTATGAACTTCCTGCCTCTCTGTCCAGCCACGCCTCTTCCTGGGCAGTTGTCATCATGCATGGGCCTTGTCCCCCTGCCCCTGCCGTACCCCGTGTATGCCCCTCATCCAAGCATCCCTCCATAGTTACCACATCTGATAATGGAGGCCCCACGGGGCACCCCAGTTGGAGAAGAGCAGCCAGACAAGGGAGGCTTAAGGAATATTTGCCAAGCGGGTAGCCACTGGATATGAAAGAGGACGAGGATACGCACATATAGCGGAGTGCGCAGCCCTCGCTCATACTTGAGCCTACCTCCCTGATATTGCACAAGTGACATGCAAAGCTGGAAAGCAGAGTGGAAGGAAACACAGACGTGCCTTTAACTGCAGCAGCATGCACTTCAGTGAGAGCGCCCCTCGCCCCACGGCTTGGAAGCAGGGATGAGGAAAAACAGCTCCCTCTTCCATTTAGAGTTCCATTTGGGCTGCTCAGAAGTAAGCTGTTCAACAGAATAAGTGAATTAGCTAAGGAATTCATTTATTTAAGAGGCTCTTCTCCCATTGCCACGCTGAGTTCTATTTATTTATTGTCCCATTAAATACTGTGGAATACTGGTTTGTGCAGTTGGATTCTAATTAGCCTTTTACATTTCATTAATGTGAACATTGAAAGGTAGAGGAGAGTAAGGAACATAATTGCCACAGAGCAGTGGTTTGGGGAGTGTGGGTTGACATACAAGCTCTCACGTTCCGGGGAGCGGTGCAGTGATGCCCGCCCCCATCGTTCCTTAGTGTGGAGTTTCCTTTTGAGCCCTGAATACTTCTCTTCTAACCACCTCTGTTCCCTAGTCCCAATCCCCATAAAAAACAGAGGGGAAAAACCACAAGTGCAACTGCCCTAGAGTAAAAAAGAGGGCTTTAGTCTCTCCACCCTCTCTGCTCTCTCTGTAACGGGATAGGGGCAGTTGGTGTGTATGTCCCGTGGGTGCCCTTGAGCCATGGCTAAGGTGACCCAGCTGTGTGTCTTCCCTTGACTCTGGAAGCCTTTGATGCTGTGTTATTGGGAGAAAGTACGGGAGGGGAGCGAGCTGCTAAGGATTAACCAAGGGAGGAGGAGTGAGGAGGAGAGGTCAGCGCGTGGTAACGCTGGAGGGCGGTGGAGTTTAACCTCGAGGATCCTCGATTGGATTTACCATGTCTTCTATCTTGAATTATATGCAAATTGCATGCCCTCAGAAACGTCTCCTAAGACGTCAAAATGCCTGAATGTTTAGCAGCATTTCTGCGTGGTGGCTTTGTGGTTGAGATTAGGGTGTGAAGGAAGAAGAGAACTCAGGAGACCCACTTCCCGACCACACCCTGGAGGAGCAATTAGGACCCTTTGGTTAGGGCACTGCTCCTGCGGGTGCTGTGCCCCCAGGGGTGCGGGGAGGGGGGACGATGGGGGGGCACATGCGGACAGGAGCACATTCCGGGAAAGGCTCAGGATGGTGGAGGGTTCCGGACTGCATCGTGTGGGGGAATGAGTGACTGACATGAGCAGAGAAGGCTTAGGGGGAGAGGGACCTGATAGCCGGAAGAAGTGTTTGATGGGTTTTTCTAAGGAAGAGTATTGAACATTCTGTGTGGTTCTAGGGGGTGGGGCAAGGACCACAGTGGATGGAAGTTATAAGGCATTAGATGTCAGTCCACCTTTAGAAGAGCCTTTTTAACAAAGAGGTCCAAAAATGCAATGGGTTTTCCACAAGAATTAGTGAGTTCCCCAATTTTTAATTCATCCAGCAGGTATCTATCTGTATAAAGTATCCAGTGTGAATTGGGAATAGAGTGCTGAGCAAGATAGCCAAAGGTCCTGTTCTCACTGGGCTGTGGTTCTCAAAGGGAGAGACAGGCCGCACACATGTAAATAAATGAACAGGTTAATTTCAGCTGCCTGTACACGGTACAGGAAAGGAAACCGAGTGAAGTTTAGCGGTCAGTGGTGGAACACTGTGCAAGTTTGGTGGCCAGGGGAGGCTCCTGCGCGGGGGCGGTGACCTTTCAGCTGGCCGCATCAAGGAGTCACCATGAAAGGGTCCGAGAGCAGAGCATTCTGGACAAGGGTCCTCTAAGTGTAAAGGCCCTGAGATGGGAAGGAGCATGGTATGATCAGGTGTAGGCCAGGGTTAGCCATGTGTTGGCAGAGGGTTGAACCAAACTCCCAGGGTCTCTTTTTACTATGACACTGGCCTTGTTGCCTGTGTCAGAATGAGCATCGTGCTGTACTCGCGCTCGCTCCTGATTTAGACCCTGGGACCTGCTGGAAAAAGGGAAGTAACACTTCTCAAGGGAAAGGCCTTTAAGGGGTAGAGTTTGGTCCTTATGACTCCTTGTTGGTCAGACTGATTTTAATTTGGGAGTTCTGAGTAGGCCACGTGGTCTGTTACCTGGGAATCTCCTGTCAGGGCGTTCGGAGTATAACAGGTTCAGTCAGAAGGTGGAAGCCGCACTGGCCTTTGTGATTATATATCAACCCTCTTCAACAGCCAGAAGCAGCAGAGACCTCCAGCTATTTCTAGCCATGTTCTCAAGGCGTCACTTCATGGGCTCAGCTCCTTTTTTTAACCCCTAAAGCAGGTGGGCCTCAGGGAGAAGTGGCAGGGCGGGGAATAGGTGGAACATTAAGGGGTAAGGGAAATGGAAAGAGAGAAATTAGGCAATGTGGTAGGATATAGCTCTTCTAGAACCTTTTTTTTGGTGTCCAGGTTGAGGCTGCTCAGGCCTCCCGACAAAGGCTGTTGCTACGGTGTTTGTGGAAGTGTTGGGCCAGCCAGACTCTGTTCTCCCTTGGAGCTACACCCCAGGGGTGAAAGCTGTCCTTTCACTCTGTGTCGGTTCCACTCTGTTGAACCACTCTAATTTTTCCCCTAGGCATTTGGTTGCCAAGCTCCAGTTTTAAAGAACCCAATGAAGGTACCATGAAAAGAGGAGTGAGAGAAAACAAGAGGAAATAGGAAGGGTTGGGATCCTCTGCGCAGAGACTTCGGTTCCCCTCGCCACCCTGGGGCTTGGAAGAAGCACACAACCGTCCTCTCTGAGTCGGGGCTCCACCTTTCCCGTCCGGCACCCCTGGCATCCTGGAACTGGATGAGCTCCTGTAAAACTGGAAGAAGTCTCAACACTGTTCCTTTTTCACAAGTTTTGTTTTGAATATTTACATTTCTCGGTATGGAAAACTCACAAAGGCAGCTGGGGTTTGCGCCCATTGGATTGGAACTGGTGCGGAGGGTGAGCAGGTCCAAAGGAGGGGGCGGGGCACAGTTGGGGTCGCCAGTGCTGTGCAGGTCCAGCAGCTGGTGCCAAAGGCAGAGTGCGAGTTTCACCATTGACCTTGAAGAAGGGAAGAGAAGGAGTCAGAAGTCAAATCGAGTGAGGAGTTTCTGAGGGATGAGAATCTGCTTCTCCTTAAGCCTGGGTAGCTTCAGTAGGAGCAGGAAAGAGGAGGTGGGTGGCCTCAGATTACTGGACAGAAATTAGCAGGTGGCCTCTGTTGGGGGACATAGCGACTCCTCACATCCGTTCCTTTTAAGATTTAAGAATCTGACTTCAGAATCACCTCTCATTGAAGCTGGGTTTATTTTGTTTTATTTAATTTTTAAGCTCTGTGACCTCAAGTTAGCCCCATTCTTTCTCCACCCTCAACCTGTTACCCAAGATAACTGTACATTTCACTCTGGTCATGGTGATGTCATTCCTATTGCTTCCGCCAGCTGTCAAGGCAATAGTTTTTCTTGTCACCTGGGCAGTAGAGCTCCAGTCGTGGGCTGCTGGAGTTAATGGAGCGTGCCTCCAGATTCGCAATGGCAAACCGCACCCATGACTTAGGAGCCAGTGTTACTCGCCTCCATATGCCCGTCAGCTGGTGAGAGGGAATGTGGAGGAAGGTGTGAAGCAAAGCTATTGGAGTTGTGCTCTTCCGAGAGGGGGCTCTCTAGTGTCTCTGCCTTAATGGGATGTCCTTAGATCAGAGAGGAGGAGAGCGTTACATCCTCTCCTTTCAGGTTTTTCCCTGTCATCCCCCTTCTGGAATGGCAGGGAGCAAGGGCTGCTTAGTTTTCCTGTGATGCTTCCGGCAGCCCGAACGTTCGCCTGGGCCAGATGCTGGCTGCCCTTCACTGGAATTGAGTCAGAGGCCGATTGCAGAGTGGCCGTTGCCCAGGTGGACGTGACGGGGAGGGAGAGACACCCCAGTGCTTTCTGGTGGTCTTTCATTTTTCTGAAGCGGGCCTTTGTCAGATCATATAAGATTATGAGTTTGCTTTTCTGTGGAGTTACTCTGGGGAAAGGTTTGCTATTAAGATGTGAAAATTGAGCTGTTTGGTCTTTATTACTCTTTTGCAGTAAATGTCCCATTAGACCGCCTCTTTTGCTTCCCCTATGCTTATATCTGCCTCATCTCATAAGATAAATAACACTGTCAGGCTTGTGGTTTCCTGATGGTTTGGGCTGAGGCCTCGGTGTCTTGTTAATTTACGGGTCTGCCTCATCTGGAAGCGTTGGCCTGCTGCCTCCTGACCTGCTTTCCCTCTTGTAGCTGAGTAGGGGGGAAATTTGCATTGTTACTTGCCTCTAAAGAGGGGATCCACAAAGTGAGCTGTAAAACGTAAACACAGCCCACCTCTCATTTGTTGGGAGATACCTCTTCTATCTTTAGTCTCTGTGTAGTATTGCCAGCCATTTAAGATTTTGATCCCTGAAATTGGCTTAACCTGTGCGTCTTGCCTCTTGAGGGTGCGGATTAACTTGCCATCTTGCAGAAAGCGCCACTGCCGCCCCGCCCCGCCCCACTCCTCCCCACTCCGCCACCGTAGAGCCTGAAGGCTGGACTCCGTTGGGATCCTTGAGTGGCTGATATGCAGCTACCTGGGTTTTTATTTTTTATCCATTTTTGCTACTCATAATTTTAAAACTATTTTTAGTGTGTGTTTGCCTGGCTCTGGGCTAGATACTGTGGAAAACACTAGAAGCAGAAGACATGGTATCTGGCCTTCGGAAGCTCTTAGGTGACTGCCACACATGAAGCAACTGGAGAGCGACTCCGTGTGGCAGAGGGTTGGGGTTGCCCTTAGACTCCGAGCGGGTAAGGCTGGGGCGGGCCAGGCGGCGCGGGGGAGCTCGGGGGCGGCCGGCTTTGGGTGTGGGCGAGGGCAGGGCAATGAGTTGAGAAACACATGAACCAAAAGCTTGGAAGCAAAAATCTGCACGGTGCACGCTGTACAGCACACATCCCCGAGTCGAAGCAGAAGTGCTCAGGAACCCATCCATTTTCAGGGCGGTGGTCTAGACTGAAACTTGTTAATTGTTGGGCAGATCTGAATGCCAAGGGCTTGTGATGGTAAAGTGGAGTCCAAAGCCAAAAGTCAGCTTGGCTCTGCCCTTGGCCAAGGACTGCACTTCTTGCAGAGCAGCCCGCATGAGCAAGGCAGAGCCCTGGGCTGCTGTGGGGCCGGGTCTCCATGGGAAGGTCCCTACACTCAGGCACTTACCTAAACCCACTGAGGCGCCCCGCCACACCTCTGCCCGCCTTCCTTCTCCTGGGAGGGGGGTGACTGCCTGTGCCCACCATCTGTCTGGGCTCTAGTCATAGCCCAGGCTGCAGCCCGGTTTTCCTCAGTAGCGTGGGCTACAGGACAGAGCTGTGCAAGGGCAGTCGGGCCCCCCCGGGAGAGCTGGGGGCGAGGCGGGGCGGAGGTGCCAGCCTGGTCACAGGAAGCAGAGGGAAAACGCGCGCTGGCCTGTGGTCAGTGCTTCCCTCCCTCTCCCCTGGCTGGGTCCACCTTCTCCTTCACCAGTTCTGTGCCGCGCTAGCTGACGTGCAGTCTGCGTAGGGTGCTTACTCCTTTTGGATTGTATTTTAATGTCACAAACTGGGAACGCTTCTCGCCCCTCACTGATTCCTAAGCTGCGGGTGGATGGTGTCGGTGCCCTCAGTCCTTGCCTGTGTAACCCTCATTTGTTTATGGTTGATCTGCTGTAACCTTCCTCAGGACGGTGTGAGCCACTGTGAGCTAGTGACAACTACTGCTACAACTCGCCATTACTTGAAACTTGTGCAGGAGCACAGGAGTAAGGAGCGTAGGAGCTTTGGGGCAGGGACTAGGTAAATGGGTGACAGCTGGGAGTTTGGGACCATCGGTGACCTTGACCTGGTCTCCAGCCTGTGCCTCTTTACAGTGAGTGTGTATTCACTGGAATGCGAGCTGAGGGCTGCGGCCTTCAGCCTCCTGTGAAGAAAGGCCTGTGGGGACCCGGTTGACACTCCTCCCCCTCCTTTCCTCCTTTTTACTCAGCTGGTTATGTAGGCCCCTCACTAAAGTTGGAAATGATGTTGAGATAGTTGCAAGCCCCCCTACAGCGCAATCCAAGAACTGGGCTACAGGGAGGGTGGTTAGTGGTCCCAGATCTGGGCGTGAGAGACTAGAGTGGAGCTGTACGCCCTGGGGCGCCAGCCCATTCAGGCCTCACCCCAGCGCCCCAAGAATAGCGTGGCTGCCAGGAGCCCTCGGCCAGCAGGTGTGGGGATGGGAGGAGCTCTCCCTCAGGTTCCATCTGCCTCTGCCCTGCTGCCTCTCCGCGGCGAGGAGTCTGAGGTTGGAGGGCTGGGCTCCAGGATAGAGCGCTGTGGCTGCCGGAGGGCAGGCTGGACGTCGTGGGCACCTGTGTGCGTGTCTTTGTTTGCGGAAGCCGTACCAGCAGTTGGGGTGTTGAGAGCATCTCCGTTGGGGGACACTTGCCATTTGTTTTCCACTTTTAAAAGAATGACATGCCCCCTGTCCCTAAGGGAGGAGCTTTTGAGTTAGACATTTTCCCTATGGGAATCCTCTTGGTTGTGTCTGGGAAAAGGGGCATCGGATAAATGAATTTTATCTCTAATCGTCAACACAGCTGTTCCTACACTGAACTTGTGCTATTGCATACATGTAGCCATCTTTCTTTTCACTGCAGCAGTGTTTATCAGTAGTTCAGAATGATTTATTTGCTCCTGGGGAGTAAAATCTTTTTTACTAAAAAAGAAAAAGAAAAAAAATAAAAGTGTGACCCCCCCCCCTTCCCCTGTGATCGCGATAGGATCGTTGGGCCACAAAGCTCAAGAAGGCAACGCCAAGTCTGCCAGTGTCCGTGACCCGCCTGCCTTGGCACGGGAGCCCCCTTGCTCAGCGCAGGACGGCGGGAGGCCTTGAAGCCTTGGGAGGGTGAGAGGGGTTGGACCACAGAGGCAGGCACTGGGGGCGCGGGTGCTGCAGCCAGAGAACTAGAATAATTAATTGTATTTAAAACATTGACTCCAATCTGCCAGGGAAAGACCTTTCTTTACATGCAGACTCCACAGACTCCATGTTGTCTTTGTCCTTTTCATCCTTCCTGACCTTCCTGGTAGGTGCTGTCCACTTCCTCCCTGTTTCCCTCTCTTCCTCTCTACCCCTTCTCCCTTCCCTCCCCAGTCCCATCTACCTCTGGAAAGCCAGCCCTGCATGCTGAGTCCGTGACATGCCTTCACGCCCGTTGCATCCCATGTAGAGGGTACCTGGAACTGCTCCCCTCCCCGCCCCCCCAACCATGCCAAGAGGCATCCAGGGGCAGGCCAAAAGCAGCCAGCCACGGTGGGAAGGCATGAATGTCTGGTTGCAGCTGGACTGCGATCTCAGTCGCTCCTGGGGACAGAGTGCAAGGAGAGCTTAGGGCACTCTCGATCAGAGCCCAGGATGATCACAAACCGTGCAGCTCTGCTCGGAGCTGCATCCTAAGCCCGCTACCCAGCTCTGTGGAGCGCGAAGGCTGGTCTGACTCTCCCTGGTGCTCCCTTGAACAGGGACCAGCCCCTCACAGGGAGGCCCAGACCCCATTCCAAGGGACAAGCGCAACCGGGCTCTGCTCCGCGGACAGGCCGGGGATCGGAAGGCGCGAGCTGGTGCTGCCCGTGCACGGCCACTGCTGTACAGTTTTTGGTTGTTTTTAAGAAACTCAAGAGGGGAGTCATTCCAGGCTCGGGTGGTTGCCCGCTCGTCACCAGAGGGGAGCCCCCCCCCCCACTGCAGCCACTTATGCCCTCAGGCCCTCACCCCACCGCCCTCCTCCAAGCCAAAGCGCGGCCTGGCTTTTATCTTCCCATTTAGTTTTCCTCCTTGCCTCTCCCTTTTTGTGCTTAATTTATTGAAATAGTTACTGTATAATTTATTTTCATAAACTATAAAAAATTACTAAATGGTTAAAATAGACTTGCAGGCCAATCTTAAATGGGGTGGGAGGGCCTAAGGGTGGGGTGGGGAAAGATGTTTTGATATAAACAAAACAAATGCACTTTGGGTGTGTTTTGGTATTTTTCTGGGGCTAGAGGGGTGGGCATTGGGATGTCCCTGTAGATTAGTTCCAGAATGGGGTGTCTGTATATATTGTATTAATAGGCATGTTTGACTCTTGTAAAGGGACATTAGTAGCTGCTGCAGGTCCTGTTTGGAAGCCCATGTACAATTCCCAGTTTTTTGTAAGTGTCAGTGCGGGAGACATTTGACCCTTGTGTTTGTACCTCCCTTTTTATGATTGCTGTACTGACTCATGTCTTTTTGGGGAAGGGTGAAAAGAGATTTGAAATAAAAATGTTTAGAATTACTTCACGTTATTCCTGTGTGTGTTTTCTAGTCCCTTCCCCCATTTCATGACCCCTCATACCACCCCCCTGGGGTCAGATGACCCACTGCTAGGGACTGGGGAACCCTGTGTCCTGCGTCATCAGCCAACCAGAGCACATCCAGAGGTGTGGAAAAACCACCGAGCCTGCTGGCAGTTGCTGAAAGCTGCCTTCCGTAGGAAGTGCAGGAGAACTCCGGTGCGCTTCCGGGACCGGATGCCTGAGCCTTTCTGTCCTGGTGAGCAGTGGTGTGGGGCTTCTCTTAGGGAGAGCTCGTATTTATCTTAGAACATAATCGTTTCTAGTATTTGCCTAAACTGGCAGTCAAGGTTTTTTCGTAAGTTTAACCTGCTTCCCTCTGCCTTTCTAGCCCATTCTCTCCTAAGCTGTGCTCTTGGAGAGAAAAAGACCAAGTACACTTCTCTGTTGACTGCGTGTAGTTCGAGCCACCCAGGCCCTCACCAAGCTCCCCACTGGGAGGGCCGGCATGTCTCGATGGTACACGGGGAGTTTTCTGCAAGTCCTCTGCGTCCTCAGTGTGGGAAGCGTGCTGGGGAAAGTAAAACCGGAGTTCTCAGGAGTTGCATTTCCTGAGGACCGACCAGAGGTGCCTCAAGGAGGGAGCCTGGGAATTCTGGTCCCTGGCCAGCACATTCACAAGCCCCAGGCCCGTGATAGGATGAAGCAGTTGTTTTATCAATATGACAGCATTAACCCCTGATTAAAGTTTTCTTCCCTTTTGGAAGAAAAGGTGCTCCAAGCTATAAATTGTGAACAACATTACAAGGGAAAATGCCTACCTCAGAATCAGCGATTCAAATGCTCTGCGACCGGACACTGCGTCATCCGCAGGGATACTTCGCTGACATTATCAGTCGAGTGTTAGTGTGCATCTCTTTGAAAGCAGAGACATAGGTTTTCATTACTTCAAATTGGCATCACGGTGAGGATTGATTTGTTTGGAAAGACAGGTACTAGTTCCCTCTGACTTGGGTGATAAAGCCATGGGAGGAAAGGCATTCTTCGGGAAACAGTGAGCCCTAAATTAAATTGCTGCCTTCCACCCTCTTTACTCCCAAAACCTGAAGCCACCTATACCATCTCCTTTTAACCACCATTTAATTCTCACAAAGGCTCTTCTGTCTCTCCTCAGTGCTATCTCATTATGCACATGCCTAACTTTCTTGAATTCTATTATAAACACGTGTCCCATGGCCCTGACCAGGTAGCTCAGTTGGTTAGAGTTGTTCCCATACACCAACGTTGCAGGCTCGATCCGTGCTCCAGGCACATGCATGAATCAGCGAATAAACACCTAAGTGGAGCAACAAATTTATACTTCTTCCTCTCTCTAAAAAAGTTAATAAAATTTTTAAAAGCACTTGGCAGGTATTAATAATGCAGGGGATTCCCTTTTCCATTCCTCTGTATGACCCCCGAGTGAAGAGGTGAGATGGAGAAAGTGAATTTTGTCTTTCTTGGCTCCCCCCAGCCTCTCCCAGTGCGAGCATCTTGTGCATAATGTGTCTAGTACCTACTTGTGCCGCCTGGGTTCGGAACCCCAACCATTTTCACCTGGTGCTCAGGTGAAAAGGCACAAGACTTGATTCTAGCTCTGAAGAGGCACCAGCTGGGCGGTGGTTCTCTAATGAGGCCCCTTTCCAAGAGACTTTCAGGACGAATTTTGACCGCGATGTCATCCCGTTCACTGATTCCCATTTAAGCTGTGACTTCATTGCGCGTCTCTCCTGCACTGCCGTGTCCCAGTTTAGGCGGTCCCCTTCTTTCATCTGGTCTAACCGGTCTAATTCACTAACTGGTCTAACTGTTTCACCTCTCCAGTCCTTCTAAAAGTCCTTCCAAAGTAATGATGTGCTCAGTTCACTTGCTTAGCTTCAATTCTTCGATGCCTTTCAACCTAAAAAGGAAAATCTTGACTCCTCAACCAGACATTCAAGGCTGTTTCTCCTCCCCGGCCGCACCAGCTGCGCTCTGGTCGGGACGCCAAGCACTCAGATCACGGCGCCGCTTTCCCCTGCCCCTCCACTGTCCGTTATGCCAGCCCCTCTGCCTGTCACCCTCTTTACCTGCAAATCTGCTCATTCTTCTAGGTTCTGCTCCAAGGTCACCGCTGGAATTTTCACCAGTCGCTCCTCCCAGCCAAACAGATGTTCTCTCCTCTGTTAAGACGTGGGTTCCTGTGTCCGCCCGCTTGCTCAACAGCGAGGGGCAGAGCCCATGTCCTGTTCGGCGCTCTCCCTTTGCCCCCTGGCCTGGCACAGTTGAGTACATGCACAAAGACGGTGGTTGAAGAAACGTGAGCGCAGCCCCTTCCTAGGAGTGCTGCTTGGTTTCCTTTGTCTCTAGTCAGCCAGCCTTGAACCTGGATTTTCACCTTTCACCCAGGACAGCTTGACCCTATGGGACGAGGGGTAGCCACTAAATGTCAGTCTTCAGAGTTTTTTCAAGGGATTGACGTTTTGGTGTTTGGAGTAAGAGCGTGAACTGTGTGATACAAACGTAACTCAAGATATTCCAAAAGCGGGGTGTGGACTGTGGACCACTTCCTCTTGGTGCCAATGGCATCAGGGGGAATGGCAGTGCTGTCACTGTCCCTTGGGTGGAAGGTGCTCCTGGGATAGGGTCAGCAGGCTTTGTCCAGTGACCAGAGGTTGCACCCAAACCCCACCCTTCTTCACACCCTGGGCTTCTCATCTCACCCCATCCCTGCGGCGGGGGTCACGGCCTGGCTTTCCCCGACCTGAGGAACTTGGCTTTGTTTCTGGGCCTTTATTCTGTAGATCAGGGATGATGGGGCAGGCGGGAGAATAGGAGAGGCTAGCTGGGTTCATACCGGGAGAGAGAAATAAGCGTGGGAGGAAGCAACTGAGCTTGGGGTGGCTTTGGAAGGTTTGGCGTGGGACAGAAGAATTGAGCAGCAGCCATCTTGTGTGAGGAATTGATAGAGTACACGAAGATTTTAGGGCCCTGGCTGCGTGGCTCAGTTGTTTGGAGCATCACTCTGTGCACCGAAGGGTTCAGTTCCCAGTCAGGGCATATGCCTAGGTTGTGGTCTGATCCCCAGTCGGGGCACGTATGGGAGGCAACCAACCGATGTTTCTGTTTTACATCGATGTTTCTCTCCCTTCCTCTTTCAAAAAACGAAACAAAAACAAAAACAAAAAAAACAATAAAAACAACTCAATGAAAAGATGTCCTCGGGTGTGGATTAAAAAAAAATTTTCTGGGACTTTCTCTGTGCACTGGGTGTTCGCTCCTGGGATCCCTTCCCTGCAGCTGCCACCCTCCTCCCTGCCCTGGTGTTGGTGAAGAAAACTGCAATAGAGACTGGTATCTTTTTCTTCTGGATATGGTAATATATCTTTTTCTTTTTTTAAAAGATTTTATTTATTTTTAGAGAGGGGGAAAGGGAGGGAGAAAGAGAGGGAGAGAAACATCAATGCGCGGTTGCCTCTCATCCGCCCCCTACTGGGGACCTGGCCCCCAACCCAGGCATGTGCCCTGACTGGGAATTGAACAGGCAACCCTTTGGTTTGCAGGCAGGCACTCAATCTACTGAGCCACACCGGCCAGGGCTGTTTTTTTAAAACTAATCTTTTAATTCTCACCTGCCCTGACTGGGGACCAAACTCACAACGTAGGCATGTGTCCTGATGGGGGAATCAAACCCGTGACCTTTCCGTTTATGGGACAATGCTCCAATGAACTGAGCCACACTGGCCAGGGTGGACATAGGTCTTTGAATGGGACACCATCTTTAGAAGTGACTGCAGGCCCAGCTTTGGACATGTTAAACTTTTATGCACCTGGAGAGTGGACTTCTGCTCCGGCCGCCATCCCACAGCCCAGCACTGGGCCAGCACACCAAGGGATGTGCCCACACTTGCTGGATACAGTGGAGTAACTCCAAGACAGGAGGGGAGGGGGCAGGAGGGGAGGGCCTGTGGGTGGAATCACCGTTGGTCCTGAATTGGGGGTCAACCGTACGGAACTGGAATTCTCATCCGAAGTAGTCCTGGTGAGGAGATGACCCAGAATGCCCTGTGGAGTCTAGAAGAAAGTATCAGGGTGGGATGCAGTGGTCTTGGCCATGATAGGGGTTTTGTGAGCCTGCATCACTTGAACAATCTTTTCAAACCTCACACTTACCCCTAGACTGGGACACCCTCCTAGACTCACAAGGAGTGTGGAGTAGGGGAAGGAGTGGTAAGGACAGTGGACAAAATTTCTCCGATGCATCTGATGGTTCCTTTGCCCTCTGCCCACCCTATACCCACTGTTAACACTCAGAGGCAAGACCCTGCCTAGCATTTGCAGATCCAGGTTTGTGTGCTGGCTCCACCCCTTGCTAGTCATGTGATCTTGGGCACTCTATTAATATGAATGCTTTCTCAGTCTGGCTCCTCCTCTTGAAAAGAGGGAAAGCATTTTTATTTACCTCATGTGTGCGTAACATACCTGGCACTTCTTCAGCACTCAATATTTTAACAGCCGCGGGCACTACTTATAACCATTATTAGCAGCATTTTGAGGAGAAGAACCGGGAGCTTTTTGTCCTCCCAGAGGCAGAGGAAAAATGAAAAGACTTCAAGCCTCTTCAGGCTGCAGAGATGGGTAGGCTGGAGGGAAGAGGAAGGAAGAAAGAGAGGTTGCTGATAGCAGGGCTGCGGGCGGAAGGTGGGAATGGGTGGGGCTGGATGAATTGTTGGGCTTTTCCTGCCACCTAGTGGCCGCCCCTGGGTTGTGCCGCCCCGCTGTCCTCCCGGGGCTGGTGGTGCCGGGGAGAGGCTGCGCTGAAGTGTTCCACAGTGTATGCAGTCCTCTTCTGTTGCCCCCATTCAATGCCCTGGCCCGTGACACATCCTCCACATGACCCTGGTGGATAGGACAAGTCCCCTTTCTCCTGGTGGAAGGAAGTCTTTTTTC